GAAGGGCAAAATTTGGGTAAAGCTCCATATGTTATGCCTTTTTATGGTATTTTTGAAAATGTTTAGTTGTCTCTGATTTAAATAAGGAAATATTGATAAAAAGGTTGTATGTTGTAGGCTTTGGAATTCTCAAAAAGCAAAATTGTTAATGCACAATTAGTCTCAACTGATGGGGGATTAAAGCCCTTGGGCCTCTTATTTAAACTTGATGACATTATACGAATGCCAGTAATATTGTAATTTTCGAGGAAACAACCATTTGTATTATCAACCTTTCTTGCAGTTCTATAACTCACGGTATGAGACCATATTCACCAAGCAGTCCGGCTGATATTAAAACTAATGATATTGTCAAGTTTTCTCGTCAAGGCGGCAAGCTCAGTATTGGTTTTGTACGGTTTATTGGTCAACTTCCAGGAAGGAGTGGAATTTATCTTGGTGTTGAGTTGTATAAAGAAGGTGAGTGTTTATGATTAGTTTTAGTTTCTTTTCAGAATTTTGTCCAAAATATTTTAAAATTCAGAATAAACTTGTTGAACAGATACAAAATTTTTGGAATGACAAATAAATATGTAATGTATACAAGCTTAAAAAAAATATTTTGAATGCCCATAGCTCTTATCTAAATCAAGATGTTATATCAGCACCAACTCTCTGTTGATAACATAGAAAACCATATGTATTGGTATATGAAACCAGTCGATGATAATGAGTAAATCTACAGATACAGAATTAACCTGAATATTTATGTTCCTTGCAACTTTGCATTTGATTTGTAAATATCAAAACCCATATTTTATTATTATTTTTAGAAGGAAAGCATGATGGTGTATTTGATGAAGTAAGATATTTTAAATGGTAGGTGTATATAAACTTGTAACATTTTATCTGTCAATAGTATGGCACTATACCAACATTTAAAGCCACAGATCATCATTTACATTTTTTGGGACAAACTCTTAATTTTCCACAGCTTTCAGTTATCTAACCTAAAATGGGTCCAGATTTATTATTTAATTACAAAGAGAAAACCAACATATCAATAGTTTATAATCTCCCGAATTGGATTCAATCAGATTAAAAAGAGGCTCATCAAAAGATTTTACCAAACTCTTATTGGTGACACTGGCTTGTTTTAGTTAAAATAAGTTAGATGGTTTTACCTGGAAAGAATATATTAAATACAAAAATTGCACAAAGTTTACCCTTGTTACCTAGATGTCATTCTGTGGGTTTATTTCTTAATCGGCGCCTAAATTTGCCTAGTGTGTCCAGTGACATTCACCCAAATCAAAGGTTTTTAATATTTGGTTTAAGGCAACTATTTTAGTGTTATGTTGTGCACAGACGACCTTGACATCAACAGAAAGCAAGAATACGTCTCGCCAAAAGTCCTTGACATTGATAACGTTCGTGATGTCACAGTACGCCCCCAAAATGAAATTCACAGACTTGGAGAACAAACGGAATAAAGTATTTAGTAACGGTTGTAGCCTCCTCTAGCGTCTCGTACTGCCACACAACGTCTTCTCATGGATCTCAGAACATTAGTAAACACTACCCGAGGAAGACGTCGCCACTGCTCAGCAAGAGCATGTTGAAGGTCCTGCAACGTCAGTGGTGGATTCACTTGCTGCCGAACACGTCGACCCAGTTCGTCCCAGATGTGTTCAATAGGATTACGGTCGGGGCTAAGCGACGGCCAATCCAGGACTTGGACACCGGCATTTCTTAAAAAATTCTGGGTAGCAATTGCTGTATGGGGTCGAGCATTGTCTTGTTGAAACGTTAGTCCAGGCCCATGTCTCTGCATAAACGGAAGAAGAACAGGTTGCAAAATCTGATCCCTGTACTGGACAGCATTTAAGTTCCCTTGGACAACAACAAGAGGAGAACGTCCATGTGCACAAAAAGAACCCCAAACCATGACGCTGCCGCCACCAAATCGGTCAACTTCTCTGACGCATACTTGAGCGTAACGTTCACCTCGTCTGCGGTACACTCGGACCCTGCCATCGGCAAATCTCAAAGTGAATCGAGATTGGTCACTAAAGACAACCGAATTCCACTGTCTTTGAGTAAATCTTATGTGTCTTGTGGCCCACACAAGTCGGTTACGGCGATAATGAGGTGTCAATATTGGTCCATTATAGGGCCTCCGAGCTCGAAGACCAGCAGCCTGCAAGCGATTTCGAACAGTTTGTGCAGTTACCCTTCCACCAAACATCTCTCTACTTGTGGAGGTTGCAGTGACAAATCTGTTTCTAAGATGACGTAATCGTATTGCTTGATCTTCCTGGTGTGACGTCACACGTGGGCGGTAGGCAATAGTTCCAGTTTGAAGCACTCTCATTCTAAGATTGAGTTTGTGTTTTTCATCTTTATATGCTCAAAAGTCACATGATCCACGTGACTTGACAATTTTATGAAATTAAAGGCTTCTTACTACTTACTGTCGTTAGAAACACTTTAAAATTTATTTGACTTACCAGAAAAAAAATTTGTTGAAATTCATCAGTGTCAAGTTTTTAATTGAGCTGAGTATATATTCATGCGAAGGTTTGGTATTTTACGCATGATTTTTAGAATTCATTAGTCGAGAAGTCACATGATTGTTTGAAGACATGGTCGCTGCCATGTTTAATCATGTGACGTGGAAAGTGATGCAATCGATCTGTGAATCAAGCGGAAGATTCACCTAGTGTGTCCACTCGTTCGGCTTGTGTGTCGAATGCTTTAGTCGTATCGATTAGTGTCTTGTTCGCCAGGTTTTTAAAATTCATTAGCTAATCACCACTGATGTTGAATAGTCACATGATTGTTTGAAGACATAGTCGCTGCCATGTTTGATCATGTGATGTGAAAAGTGATGCAATTGACTGGTGAATCAGGCGGATAATTCGTCTAGTATGGCTGAATGATTCAGCTTGTGTGTCCACTGCTTTAGTCTGGGGCAACTTTTACTGAACTTGTGTGGTTTGTCAGACCTACGATCTATATTTGCAACTGGCATTGTCAAATGACAATCTATAAAGCGATTTGTTTAGTTTCAGTATAGCGCATTGGTGCGCAAAGCGATTCGAACAAATCTATTACTGGTGTATCTGACGACATGGACCATTTACATAGTTAACTTCTATTATTAAGGTGTAGGGTACCATTTCAGCCTGTGTACTTGTTGTAGGTGTATAGTGTCTTGGCAGATTTGGGAATAATACAAGGATTCAGGTACAGGAGTTGTCAAATAATAAAGTTAAATTGAAATATGTTTTGTTTTCTCTTTTCAGCAAACCTAATAAAGGTGTTTTTGTCGCCTATAACAAGGTAGTCATGGCATGGACTACTTTTTAAGAAATCAGTAAAGACTTAATTTCAATGTGTACTGGAAAAAGATATTTAATTTTCAAATTCAAAAAAAATATATACAAAAATTTTACGTTTTATCAATCTGATTGAAACACTGATCTGAATATAGGTTGTTTTCTTTACACTTTATCAATCTGAAACACTGATCTAAATATGGGTGTTTTCTTTAAATGGTGTTAACTCAAAATAGGTCTGACTGATTCTAATCGGTTATATGAAGAGAATATGATTAGGAAACAGAAATAGGATCCGTGGTTTAATCAGACTGACATGTTATATTCCTACATTTTATGTGTTTTGTATACTTTACAATATTTTCTTATTAAGTTTTGTATTTGTTACATCTTGCCTTATTGTATGTAATTATTCATCACCTAATTATTTAATTTTGATTAATCTATATTTTGTAATAATTCTTTAAATTATATATTTTTCTAGATAATTTTAGCTAGTCAAATTTTGTTATTTATGCAACAACTGTGATAGTTTTTATTTAATCTGTTAACACTACTCGGATTTATTCATTCCCTCTATGTACAATTTAGTCTTTTTAGGCAGAGTAGTTGATGTAAATAAGTATCCGTCCAATGTGTGATATTTGAGCCAGATTTATTAAAGAACAATAGTATATAAAAGGTTTTTGTTTTGTAAAGCCAGATATCAAATATGTGCCCTTTAAGACTTGAATTTCTAAAGATGTAATTATCTGGGGAATCTTGTGTAAGCGCTTGGTAGTGCTTAAAACTATAGTCAAAACAAGCTCAACTTTGGAACCTTACATAGATACTGGAATCATTTAATCAATAAATATTTCAAAGATGCACGACAACCTGGCTTGATAACCAGGCCCAAAGTTCACAAGGCATTCTCAGACTTAAAAGTTCAAAATTTACTCAAAATAATTTGCCTTATTGTAACTAAAATATAGTCATTTAGAAAACTTTTGATGTATCAAATACATCAATAAGAAACTATGTGCAAAGTTTTGTATATCTGGATCAAAGATTTGTCATAAACAGTGATTGAAAGTTGAGTAAATTCTTAACTTAAGTCTGAGAATGCTTTGTAAACTTGGGGCCAGGTCTCGATTCTATTCCCAGTAAAAGGTTTCTCTGAATTTTCAAGCATAGTTCTCCCCTGTGATAACATTTATTAAGTATCAGTCGCAAAAAAAGTTCTAGGAATAATATCAATTTCTATCCACCATTTTGATAGCTTATTTCTGCCCTTGATCAATGAAACAAAAACAATATGTTTCACCATGCAGTGTACTTTGATAAATGAAAACCACAGCAGTATGTACATGTACTAGGTTACTCTTACGTTGGAGAGAGGGTACTATGTTAGTCGCAAGTTAACTCGTGTAGCAACGACTGAGAGTTCCACAACATCTGGCTGTTGCTTGTTTACTTCACAATTCCCGAACTTATAGCTATGCTATCTACAGACACGCGAGCAGTAGCGTCCAGAGGTTGTGACATCGCGACCTCCATGGGAACCTTGACATTGAATGAACCATGAACTTTGCAACTCAACTATCACAGGTAGACATTTTAGCTGCCGACGACAATAGATGACCACATTTCAATGTGGGATGACCACATTTCAATGTGGGCGTATAAAAAAGAACAAAGTCAACCTTTGGAATTTTATTTTATTTGATATTCCAAATATTTAGGCAGCAGCTTCTTTGGCCAATCTGTCTTTCTTAAGTGGACCCTGTGGAAATAAAAAGGAAATGTGACAATACAGTATATTATGTTTTCAGATAACATTTCAATTATTTAACTTCCAAGAAAATGTTAGTTGGAATACTGAGGTTTCTGCTCAAAATTGAATCAGACCCAGGATGATTTCCACTATTTATATTCCACACATGAAATCATTAAATAAATATATTTAACAATGTACGAAGTGTGGTTCAAATTTCAATACAACAATTACACATTTATTCAAAGAAAAGTTTTTGACATCCTTTTCACCAACAACTAGGTTCAGGGTTCAAGCTATGCAGTGTGCCATGATGGAAATATGCCGAAAGTAGGGGTTTCACCCATTCTTGATCAAAATCCAATCTATAATAGTAAAATTTTGTATCAAAATGACTAGATGCTTTTTCTTGTCCCACTGACCGGAATATTCCAGGCTAGAAAACAACAAATTTTCTTGACCAACAACTGGATATTCTGCTTTGTGACCCAGCAACATACTCCACAGACTCAAACAAATTCAGACAAGGTTAAATTAAAATATACATTACCATAAAAGCTTTCTTTTCTTCGTGAGTTTGGAAGCGACCATGTCCAAGTTTACTAGTTGTATCAATCATCTTGAGAACAATCTTTTCTGTATGCTTCCTTCTGAATGCTGTTAATAAGGACTGAAATGGGGGAAAAAATATTTTGTTCCAGCAAATGTTGATTTTATTTCAGTTTCTTGAGTCAACTGGCGTGGTTTCGAATCCCGGTTGTACGTGACAAGGAGTAGGGTCGCCTGTCCAACCTCATGGGTTTTCTCCGGGTACTCCAGTTTCCTCCCACTGCTAAAGACCCCTACGCGCAAGCGAATTATTGAAATAAAATTAACCCATGTTAGTACCGAAATGACCTAGTTTGTGTTGAGTGGACGTTAAACCCAATTTCTCTTAATTTCAGTTTCAATTTTTTATTTATTTGACAAGTTGAAAGTCCCGAAATGACCTAGTTTGTGTTGAGTGGACGTTAAACCCAATTTCTCTTAATTTCAGTTTCAATTTTTTTATTTTTTTTTTATTTGACAAGTTGAAAGGCTCATATAATCATTTGATACAATGCAGATTCCAGAGTGATATAATTGATGAAACTTACTTTTCGTAGGGTAATAACTCTTTTTCTAGTACCAACAACAGCTCCTTTAATCATAAGGAAATCATTGTTGACTTCACCATAATGATGGAATCCTCCCATTGGTGTAATGGCCTTGACAACTGGATCAAATTCAGTTGAAGCATTATTCTTGACAACTTTTCCATCTTTAGTATGAATACCCTGGCCAATACGATAAATTTTCTTGTTCAACTCTGTACGATGATGATAACCTTTTTGACCAGCTCTTGCAACTGTAAACTGTACTCTACTAGGATGCCAAGCACCAATACATGCAACTTTACGTAAACCCTTGTGAGTTTTACGAGGCAGTTTCTTTGTGTGCCATCTGGCAGTAACACCTGAAAAATGTCAAATTTCAAAATGCAGTTGCCATTTATAGCTGTATAGCACATATTATACAAGGCCATCTAGGTTACGGCGTCTTTCACAGATCTTCCAAGTACCATAGAGGGGATAGGAAAATTCTTATGCAGGAGGGGGTTAATTTTGACAAAGGATTGCATGGCTAATATCACATTTCAAGAATTCACTGTACCAACAATTTCAAATTATAGCCTCAAGATTTTTCAGGTTTGTATACTGGACAACATGGTCTATAGTTAGGGTGGCCCACCATAAATAAATATCTCGATAATTACGCCACAATATTTATATATATATATGCCAAGCCTCAAATCAGTTTCACACAATTATAGTCACTAAATAAACGATCATGTTGTACTTAATAAGTTATGACCATTAATCATCTATAAATAATAGACTGAAAACTGGTTCCAAGTGTCGTCCAAACATCCAGACACTTTTGAGTAAAAGATAGGTTACGTGCCCTTGTTTTGAAATTAGTCTCGCTTAACCAGTCTATCGACCATTCTACGTCTGATTGACAGGTTGGGATAATCAAGACTACTTTACGAAACATAACAGAAAGCTAGAACAAGAAATTGAATTTAGAAATAAGCACTTTAGCTAGCTCAACAATTGTTTTAAGAAGCTTGTAAAAGTAAAATGAAACTACGGCTAGTATCATGTTCCTGTCTAAACCGAGTGATTCAGAGATATTATTTGTACTAAACCAAAAGATGCCGCTCTTAACGGTGCAGTTAATGATAAAGCGATTTAAAAAATAAAACGAACGTAATTTCTAAATCTGCTGTAATAACCAAGAAGCTTAATTTTACCGCTATTCAAAATCGTCAACAATAAATTTTTTACGGCTGTAATAGTTGATAGATTTGTAGAGAATTGCATGTGCACGCTTCAGTGGTAGTCTCGAACTATCAGTGGTGGACTGTATTTCTGTAGAGTGCATGGGTCACCCTACTATAGTACACTTTCTGATTCAGCCAGAATTCTTCAATAGAGTTGCATCCCTTTAACCCATGATCTAATCTAATTTTTTGTATACATATAGCAAGTTTTCTTCCAATTTAATTACATACCCTTGAAACCCTTTCCTTTAGTTACACCAATAATATCAAGAACTTCATCTTGTTCAAATACTTGGTTAACAGGCACTGGTTTCTCCATTTGTTGTTTAGCCCAGTCTACTTTATCCGATATAGATCCACCATTCAGTTGTATTTCAACAATATGAGCCTTCTTCTGAACGTGTCTTAACATCTTTGTCTACACAAAAACATAAATCCCAAAATATTAATCACTATATAAATATGCGACGTATTTGCATTGTTTAACTGTTTGCTGGTTCAATCACAAGAAATAGAGAGAAACGAGGTTTAAAGTCCACTCGACACAAACTAGGTCATTTTGGGACTAACATATGGTTTAATTTTATTTCAATAATTCGCTTGCGTGTAGGGTTCTTTAGCAGTGGGAGGAAACCAGAGGACCCCGAGGTTGGACAAGTGACCCTACTCCCCGTCTCATACAACCGGGGAATCGAAACCACACCAGTTGACTCAATGACAGACTATAGTACAGCACGCACGTGCTAACCATTCAGCCATCCAACCCCCCTCACAAGAAATAACAGAATATGCAATACTAACCTGGGTGTGAGCAATAACACGGATTACTTTGCAGTATTTCTTCATCTTATTGAAGTCGCTTTCAATCAGTTTCTTTCCAGCTTCATCTTGCCATTTCTTGGCATTCTTGGTGAAGGCCTTCTTCTTAGATCTTGACCTTGAGGAATAAAAGTAGCCACCTCATCATGTTATATACATGAGCGGAGATGAATGCTACACATCTTACAAAACCTGGCTCATCAGAATAACCGAGCGGAGCCAAATTTTATAAACTACTGTATTGGCTGTAAAACAGACTTACAATTAGGCATAGGTTATCTAGATAATGTTTTTAAAAACAATCAACTTCTGTTATTAAGTGAACTCTAGTTTAATCTAAATTCCTTTATGGCATCAAAATGCAAATACTATGAAATTAAAAGTGATGAGCTCAAATTACGCCAGGCTGGTTTAATGTTACCCCATTCATAAAAAAAACAAAAAAAAACTCACCAATTTTTGTAAAATCGTCTTTTACATTCTTCACTTAAATGTTCTGCCCATAAAGTTTTGAATGTTTTAAGACCTTCTGGCGTTTCTATGTATCCTGTGACCCCAACAACCATCATTGGTGGGGTTTCAATAATTGACACGCCTTCTACGACTTCTTTCTTGTTCAATTCTGAAAAAAAAATTAAGGTAGAATTTTCATAGAGATCTTGCAAACTTTCGCAGTTTTTTGGGTTTTAACTTTTATCAGTCTTTTCCATTTAATAATCTTTTTCTTGGGTAGATCTCTACGTTCATATAATATATTGGTATTCTTACTAGATCCGGGTCTGTCCACATCTCTCACAATATGGGTCATTCCTGCTTTGTAGCCAATAAATGCAGTCATATGAACTGGCTTCTTGGGATCATCTTTAGGAAAAGCATGGATTCGGCCACGATGTCTTCTGCTTCTCTTTTTCGGCAAAAAACCTTTCGACCCATGACGTGGGGCTGAAAATTTACGATGAGACTGAAAACACAAAAAGTCCATTATAAGTTAACCACATGGTCATAGGTCCCAGTCAAGATATTTTTCCATTGCATTATAATTATAACTGAAGGCACCACTTTCATCAGCAAATTGGTATTACCATTTACTTAACCAATGAAAATGCTACCCCCTAACCAGGCATCAGAAATTCCTGACTAATGTGGATACATGACTTGAAATGGCACATGCTCAATACGAGGGTCCACTGACCACTCCCGAGGAGGCACCTGTAGACTAATCGCAACGCAAGAAAGTTAACCGGGATCAGTTTAAAGTATTGCCATCATTAAAATAGAACTGGAAAAGGGTAGAGAGTTTACACGATCGCATAGATCTTTGCATATTCATGGTCCTAAACAATTAGTAATGACGTGAAAGATGGAGAAATGTACCGTGAAATAATTTTCGGGTAATACTGGGTGTCATGGGGTAAAACTAATAAAAATAATAGCTCTAGTAATTCATACAATACTTTATTGTTCAATAAACAACAATAATTTGATTGGTTGTGTCTTGTCGGAGGGTGATCGTCTAGATTTAATCGAGACAATTTTTTACCACATGCTTACCATGTTGGCCGTCACGTATAAAAGGGCGATATCAAAGCGAGGCGGTGTTAAATACGATTTGTGTCTCGATCAACTAGACTGTCAAGATCGGCATTATATCTAGTAGTAGTAGCCTAGGCTACTCTAAAGTAACTACATAAGTACATTATATCGACCTACACGTGAAATGAAATTAGGCTTAATACTAGACCAATTAGCAATTAGAATAGTTAATTAAAGCTGCTCTTTGGTAATATATAATTGAAATTAAAGATGGCAAAATAAAACTACCGGCATTTATTGAACATTATTTATTAATAAATGCCTGATGTATAGATATTAGATGTATAGATGAGTAATATTCCCTAACTTTTTTTGTTTTTATACGCCCACATTTTCATGTGGACGTATATTGTCGTCGCCCCAGTCCGTCCGTCCACAATTTGTTTGTTGACACTCTATACAGGCCATAATTTTTATCCGATTTTGACGAAACTTGAAATATATAGGCCTATCTCCCAAAGATCTCGGTTCCTTTCGATATTGGCATGATTGTATTGGACCATAACTTCATGGATTATGGCCCCTGATTGTACCAAAAAATCACGTTTTTAGCTTGTGGACACTCTAGAGGCCACAATTTTGATCCGATTTTGATGAAACTTGAAATGCATGTTTATAACCCAAAGATATTGGTTCCTTTCGATATTCCTAACTTCCTGAATTATGACCCCTGATTGTACGAAAAATTGTGATTTTAGCTTGTGGTCCCTCTACTAGTGGTCACAATTTTTATCGGATTTAAAAAATCGTTTTAGTTTATCGCCCTTATAATGATGGTTGAGTTCGAATTTCGTGAAAATCGGACCAAAACTGCCGGACAAAATGGCCGCCCCTTGACACAAATAGTTTTAAAATATGGTATATGAAGGTTGTGGAGTGTGGACCCTCTAGATGCCACCGTTTTTATCCGATTCGGATGATACATTAAATATATGTTTTTATCATAAAGATATTGGTTCTTTTTGATAATCACACATATCAGAACTTAACTTCCTGGATGATGGCGCCTGCTTGTGGATTCTCTAGAGGTCACAATTTTGTTTCCGATTTTAAAAACCATTTAGATATATCACCATTTCACCATAATGAAGATTGAATTCGAATTTCGGGAAAATCGAAATGAAACTGCCCGACAAAATCGCCGCTCTTTGTACGCAAATTGTGTATAAGTATGTAATACAAAGGTTATGGACCCTCTAGCTGTCACAATTTTTATCCGATTTTGATGAAACTTAATTTAACTTAAATATCATAATATATCTTTATATTCCAAAAATCTCAGTCCCTTTTGATATTTGCGCATTTAAGACTATATAACTTTCTGGATTATGGCCCCTGGTTGTACAAAAATTCGTTTTTGTTTTTAGCTTGTTCTCTATCCATCTCTTGCAAAATGTGGCCATACCCTGCCTAGCAGCCCCTGGTTAATATTTCTGAGTTAAAAAAAACCCATCTGTCTGTGCAAATAAAGCAAGAAAGACAACTCTTATGGCCATCATAGCGATATGGAGTCAGGCTAGTAATTATCTGCTTATTGACTTCAATGCTAAATACATGACATTTCTTTTCCTATAACATATTTTGGAACATTCTGATAATCTTATTCTTTACAACCACAACCACAATGTACGATGAGGTGCAGTCTTAAGCAAAATACAGGTTGTTTTGGGTGAATCTATGGACCCGACAACAATTCCTCACGTTAATAGAGAGAAATGGGGTTTAACATCCAGTCTACACCAAATATTGTTGGGTGGCAGAATGGTTTAATGCATGCACTTTAGATCCAAAGGTCAGTCTGTCAATTCCCTGCTTGTATGTGACTCACCTATCCAACCCCATGGGTTTTCTCCGAATCCTCTGGTTGTTTCCCATTGTTAAAGACCTGTCTGTGCACAAGAATTAGTAGAAAAAAAAATGAACCATCTGTTAGTCCCGAAATGAGCTAATATGTATCTTGTGGATGTTAAACCACATTTCTTTCTTTAAAACTTCTGTCTGTATGAATGCAGTGACCTAGAAACTTCAAAGGCTGATGAAAAGTTCATGCATTTGTTTAGTAGTGTCACCACCAACTAGGTCAAATGCCTTGTACTTGTTGTGGATGTTAAACCACATTTCTTTCTTTAAAACTTCTGTCTGTATGAATGCAGTGACCTAGAAACTTCAAAGGCTGATGAAAAGTTCATGCATTTGTTTAGTAGTGTCACCACCAACTAGGTCAAATGCCTTGTACTTTTAAATCGTCTAGCATGATGAGAACCCTTTTATTGTGCGGTTGTTGCCAACTAGTTGGCTCAGTACAGTGTTTCCCAACCTTTTTCACTCGCCCACCCCCTTTTCGAGACCCCTACTTCTCACTCACCCTCATTCGAGGTCAAAACCATCATTAGCAGCAATCCAGATTGGATCACATGATCTGACCGATGTCAGATAATCAGTGCTAGTACTATTGTGTGTGGCAGAATGTACCCTCAAATCACACCTGGATCGCCGCGGACCCTTTTACACCACTGAAAAAGCAAAATCACCCCCAGAAAACTCCATTTGCCCCTCAAAAATACAAATAACCCCCAGTCTGCCACGGACACTCTCCATTCACCCCTGGGGGTTCACTTGGATCTTGGTTGCGAATAACTGGTTTAGTAAGTCACCAACATGAAAGACTAGCCCGATTTTAGCAAAAGAAATCAATAGATTAACATGATATTTTGATTATTTCATTTACTGTCAGCTTACTAATTACTTTCAGTTACTAATTTTATTTTTCTGAGCCATAAGAAATGTCCGATTCTCAACTACAAATCTTTCTTATGCTAAAATAAAGAGATGACCCAATTATCCAGTAAGGTAGCTCATAACCAACATGATAAACTCTTTTATTCTAAATCCATATATTAAGCACATAAGATCTTGTTTGTTTATTACACTCAAGGTACAGCAACTCATTGATCAAAGTTTGTATTTTACTAGCTAGAGTACTATTTACACTTGACCCAATTTAATCTCTTTAATCATTGGGCAGATATTTTCTCTTTCTGTCTTCTTTCCCAAATCAATCTGTGCTTCTGTTTCATATAATTATCTATGACTGTTGATTGCATACCTAGATCACCATCTGTAAAATATAATTCATAAATAATATAAGGATTATACTACATAAAAGTAAGGTTTCCATACTGATTACCACAAAACCAGCCTGTACCTCTACTAATTCCAAGCTAATTCAATTTTTAGTTCTTAGTTCTTCATGATAGATAGCCCAAATATGCGCCATGTTAAAAAATTTGAAGCCAAGAGCTACTGAGAAGAACAATACCTAATTGATGTCGACAAATAATTATTGATTTAGGAAGCTCACAGAACTAAAACCTCCTGTTATCTTTGTAAGATACTGAGTTTTTATTAATTATAATATCTATGAAGTTGGCTCAGGCACTGATTTAAGATGAAACTTACGATACATAAATAAACTTTTCATTTATACTTACATTTAATAAACCAATTAGCTGCTGCATCTTCATAGTCCTCAGATATTTTTCTACATTTGTATTTAGCATCAGGACCTTCCCATACATAACATTCAACTTTTCTTTGTCTTAAAATTTTCACAATCTGATTATCAACCATTCTGTCAAAATAAAAATCATATATAAAGATAATAATTCAGGCTATTGGAATCTCTGATATATGATATATTGCCAGCCTTACAATGGACAATAATCATGACAGTAAACTATAACACATACTTATGGATGAACAATTACCAATTACTAATTACTAATTTATTTTGGTGATGTAATTGTTCTTCCATAAGTATGTGTACTTATAGTTCATTGCTTTATTCAGTTACTTAATGGCTCTAAAAGGATTATAAACTTAAAATCTTTAAATATTAAACAACAAAATCGATTAGGAAATGGAATTTATACAATATGTGATCATCTCCTCAATTTGAAACAAAGTTATTTTACATTAATGACTGGAATAAAAATAAAATACTTGTCTCTTCTTAGCTGTTCTGATGCTTCAAAAATACAAACAGCATCATCAGTATAACATTCATCTATAGTTGGAACTCGTCTGAACCTACGGTGATAATAAACTGGCCTGTTTTGGTTTCGGTAGGGTTCAACAAATTTTTCTGTAAAAGTAGAAATTTCAAATAACTGTTGAGCACTGTGTTACAGTCAGTGATATTGCAGTGGTGATATGAAATTAGAAGCTATAAAAGCCCATAGGCCTATTCCCATCTTTAAAACACTGAAGTATCTAAACAGTGTTTACATGCTGCAACAATTATTTAGTGGATAAACAATGAAAATATCAAATGTTTTATGGCACAATGCGAATGCAACAACACCAAGTTTCAGAGAATTAATTACTCTTATATCGAAATATTCAAAGATTATTAAAATAATATACCGTACTGACTGTTAACTCATAACTGTATAGCCTAAATAAAAGGCCTAATTACCTCGAAATTTTGTAACAGGTCCATCTAATAGATTAAAAACAGAATAACAAAACTGTTCATAGTATGGTAATTTTGGCTTGTCAACATCTCCGCCGTTCTCTTCAGCTGATGGCATTTTGGTTTCAGTCGTTTACCAATGCTGTGGAGTGGAGGTCAGAGAGAACGGAAGTTTAGTGTTTAGTGTTTAAGCGGCCTGTTTGTACATAAGCGACCACTTGGATTCAAGATGGCAGTAGACATAAACAGTGGTAAATAAATACTGCTTCACCCGAAAATAACAGTGTTGGCCCAGCACTAGGTCTTATCACAGCATTAATTGTAACGGTATATAATATTACCCTGCAGTAGACTAAAGTAATCAAATACAAAGTGGATAAAAAATGTTATAAGCCTAATTAAGGCCTCACGAGTTTTAAATCAGGACTCCCAAACTCTCGGTCGATGTAGATCATACACTGTTACACATGTAATGTATATAATAACAGTAAATACCACCAGGTCTATTACCTGTATAAATAGACATAATATACCCGATATACGTTTATCAGTGAAATAAATATTATTCACTGCAATTATTTATAGGATTAGGCCTACATTAATATTAAAATGTGAATTATTTAAATGGCACACTGACTGACTCTACTGTGTGAACCGTGGTAAATAATAAACGGATTTCTTCGATTATGAACAAACTACTATACTTTGGTTATTATAAATTTACCTGTGTGTTTGAAATTACCTCCGGTTATATAAAATCCATTGTACAACTATATGTCCTAGCGAATAAAAAAGTTCTCTCTTGTAAAATTGAACTCCTCACAAACTTTGACACTGAGCAATAACAAAAATGGAAGCTAATTACGTCACTTATCGGGATATATCATTTCGTATAGGGGGGTCAAAGCAAGGCTTGTCTGTCGTAACGGTTGTGTATGAATAAGCTATTCCTCTCGGAACCCAGTAATTAGTTTGGGCGTTTAAAAACATAAATACGCCCGTAGTCCGGTATTTTGTTTCCCTCTTGTATTATAATTATTTGGTTAGAGAGTTTGGTGAGATTATTTCTTTTGAACTATATTTGTTTTACTGACCTTGAATAAATTTCACCCTTGAATATTTTTATACGCCCACATTTTCATGTGAACGTATTATGCCACAATTCTTATCCGATTTTGACGAAACTTGAAATATAGGTTTATCCCTAAAAGATCTCGGCTGCTTTCAATATTGGCATGTATTGGATCGAAACTTCATGGATTATGGCCCCTGATTTTACGAAAAATCACGTTTTTAGCCTGTGGACCCTATAGAGGTCACAATTTTTATCCGATTTTGTTGAAACTTGAAATGTAAGTTTATAACCCAAATATCTCGGTTCGTTTCGATATTCCCGCATATCGGACAATAACTTCCTGAATTATGGCCCCTGATTGTACGAAAAATCGCGTTTTTAGCTTGTGGACCCTATAGAGGTCATAATTTTTTTATCCGATTTAAAAAAAACGTATTATTATATCACCGTTACACCCTTAGGAAGGCTGAGTTCGAATTCCGTGAAAATCGGCCCAAAATTGACAGACAAAATGGCCGCCGTTCGTTTTCAAATAGCGTAAAAATATGGTATATATCAAGGTTGTGGACCCTATAGAGGTCACAATTTTTATCCGATTTTGATGAAACTTGAAATGTAAGTTTATAACCCAAAGATATCGGTTCCTTTCGATATTTGCGCATATCGGACCGTAACTTCTTGAATTCTTGAATTATGGCCCCTGATTGTACGAAAAATCACGTTTTTAGCTTGTGGACCCTATAGAGGTCATAATTTTTATCCGATTTAAAAAAACGTATTATTATATCACCGTTACACCCTAAGGACGGCTGAGTTCGAATTTCGTGAAAGTCGGCCCAAAACTGACGGACAAAATGGCCGCCCTTCGTTCTCAAATAGCGTAAAAATATGGTATATCAAGGCTTTGGACCCTATAGAGGTCACAATTTTAATCCGATTTTGTTGAAACTTGAAATGTAAGTTTATAACACTAAGATCTTGGTTCCTCTTGATATTTGCGCATATCGAATTGTAATTCCTTGATTGTAGGAAAAATCACTTTCTTTTTAGCTTGTTCTCTATCCATCTCTCGAAAATGTGGGCGTATCCTGATGGCAGCCGCTGGTTAATATTTCCTGATGAACGAAAGCAGTCCTGTCAATTAACCTCAGCAATCTGCTGTAGCCGAGGTAAATGCCGATGTATTTTACATTTGCCTAGACAACATTAATAGCCGAGGCCATGGAATCATTGAATAGGCCTATAACGTTATTTTTTTTTTTTATATAAATACCAAAAATTATTACCAACAATTAATCATACCGCACACCGGATTAATTATGGGCAGATAGTTCAGTTTCTTTCTATTTCGCTCTGAATATTATTTCCAGTGTGCAAAAAACTGTTTAGAAAAATTTATAATCGTACGTGATCGGTAACACAATTATTTTGTAAATTCCCGGCTCTGTTTTGAAATTCACAAGGCAATGTATCCAATATACAATTATATATACAGGGGTGAAAAACAATATTATATTTACGAGTATTCGTATATTTGGTGATATATTCATTGTGAATAAAATTTAGTAGACTGATAATCAATTGTTTCCAAATCAATGTCTTTGTCTCAGTTGCTATTGTGTTGCCCAAACTCAAAAACCCGAAACGGTCGCACGCTGTTGTGATTACAACACAGTGATTCAACCTTTTCCCCCCTTCAACATATTATGATGGTTTAGCTCATGACGTGACTTGTGTAATGTTGTGATGGACACTGTCGAAAATACAAGCAAAAACATTGACTTTTCAAGAGAGAACTTTTGTTTTGGTTTGGATATTTAATTGTGCAATGGATTTTATTCAACCGGAGATGATTTCAAACACATAGGCAAGTTTTTAATAACAATTATTTAGTAGTTTGTTCACAATCGAAGAAATCCGTTTATAATTTACCATGGTTCACACAGTAGTCCTACAGTCCTAGTCCTAGACTCTAAGAGTCTAACTCTAGGCTATTCTTTGGAACCTGCACTTACTATTATAATTATTAATAGGTGAAAATGGGTCTAAAAACACATATTTATGTAATATTATATGATTCATGAATGTAGATAAAGTGATTTGTATTTAAGTTTTAAAAAAATAAAATATTATATTGTAATTTCTAATCAATTATGTTCGGTGAAACAGTCCTAATTGAACGACAGTCATTTATGAATCAATTCTACATGCTTTTTTATTATTATTTTGTTATTATTTAATCAGTCAATACGAATTACTTCCACATTTTCTTGTAGGATATGTTTTTCTTTGTTCATTACAAATGATGCCCAAAACCATAGTATGCACAACTCATGTACCGGTAGTTGATTATAAAATGTTCATGGTGTCATTAAATATTAGGATCCCATATTTTCACAGCAAGATAACAACATCGATACCGGTATTGATTAAAGTGGACCAATGTTGAATACTAATTCATGTTTTTAATTTTGGGTATTATGGAAAATATTGAATTAGAGGTTTAGCTCCTTTAAAATTAAGCTATGATTTACTGAAATGGGTGGGAATAAGGCATACGCATTCCATCATTGAATCTCCAACATAATGTATAATTTAATGAAAGCTGGCAGCAAGGAAAAGTTAATTCTTTGAAGGATTTTCTAGTTGTTGGAAATTCCCATATCGATGGGTTCTAAATCAACCTTTTTAGGGTTGTGCAATAGCTCAGTGGTAAAGTGTAGGACCGTCAACTGCAATGCGAATCGGTGCCAACATGAGTTTGATTTCCACCCAAATTCTTAAATGTAACCCTGAAATAGCAGCCATTGTTACTGGCTATTTGTGTACAGTTTATGCAATGACATATATATAGCAAATGTTGTCACAACCGACCAGTTGACAATATAATTTGTATATTTAAAATCAAATTTTGTCCAGATAATTTTCATTGTAGTCATAACAGAGAGAGTATGAGCTGAATGATTGAGACAACCAAATTTGGCTTTGTGGCAATAAGACACAAATTACCAATTAAAAAATGCAACTGACTTTTTGAATTAAAGATCTATTGCCAGTGGCAGGATATTGAAATCTGTTTAAATGCTCATTGAAAATCACTTGTGAATGAAAAACCTTTGAGAAGATTAATGATAAAAACATGCTATGTTTCAGTATAATGTAATACATATATAGGAAACGAAAAAAGGCCTCTATAGAAGATTGATAGACACATTAAAAGGGAGCTTCAACCACTACCAGCTACTATTCTTGAATTGTTCCAATCAAATTATATGATACCGGTACTTAAAAGTCAAAAGAGTTACAAAAAGTATTGTTATTGCTATGTTTATAATGCATGAACGTTTTTTTTTTCCTCATAGTTTATGGCCTGGTGATGGTAGTCTGATATGTCCAGCAGCAAAAATGTGTTTTCAGAAAGAACTGTGAGTATTGGATCAGAAAGAGAACTGGATGACATACATCAATTACAAAACACATACACAGTACTGCCTTCTTTTAATTTTAAAAACCAACAAAAGGTAAAATCAGAAAACATGACTTCTCAGCCTAAAGAATCAGACAGAGACTATTTGTGTGATAGTCCTTCCCAGCCAGCTGAGGCAGAAGAGAGATTCAGTAAGGAAGTAAACCAATGGAATATTGATTCCCTAGGCCTAGGGGATAACATTCCTCAAAAAACTGCTGAATCTTGGGAATATGAACCTAGTCACAAATACTCTGGTGAACCATCTTATTTGAATAGCCCTTCTCGAAAAAAAAGTAAAAAGCACAGGAGAAAAATTGAAGAAGATGAGAACTATACTGCCGAAGATGAAGGAAAGAGAAAACATCGAAAAAAGAAAAAAAGTAAACAGAATGAGGAATCTTTAGACAGTAATGGCACATACACAGTAGAGGCCTTTGAAAACCAAGGATTTCATAGTTCAAGTGATAAACTGCCTCCGAAACCCCCTAAAAGAGAAGTTGATGCCTTATCCATTGAAAGCAATGGAACCTACACTCTTAAACAGGAAGAATCAGGTGATGAAACAGGCAATATCTTAAAGGACAGCATTAGATCTATGTTTAAACGTATGAAATCTACTGTTAAGATAACAGATTTACCCAGCAGACAGAAAATTTCATCTAAAACATTGACAAATCAGGTAAGTGAAAAGGGCATTTTATTTGAAATCTCAATAGCCCCACAAGTTATAAACTCCTTGAAAACGACTAAATAATATTCAAGACATTTAAATTGAACATAAAAACGTCTGTAGTTAGCAGTTATAGTTATACCAGCTATAAATAAAGAAATGGCATACCACTAGGTTCTAATCATTTTAATCAAAAATGATTTTGTTTTATAGTAAGCCTAAATGTCTTTCTCTTCTGTAATTAATGTAGTTATTTGTAACTGTGTTTTTGTTGTTATGGACATGTTGGTTTGTAGTAGCTGATAGAAATCACAGTTGCTGTGTGCTGCAGTTAATCCAGATTTAATCTGGTCTTAACCAAGCAGATTAGATTATTATAGACTATTACATGCAATAATGGTTTTATTGGCAGAGAAAATCAAGAAATTATAAGAATGAAAGTAGTATGTTTATTGTGACTTTGTGATACGTTAATTAACTATGAACAACATAAGCATACCATAGTTTATAACATTGATAAGGTTTATTATTTACTTGATGCTTTTGTGTAGATCTACACAATTAACATTATGTCTGTACCGATCAGTAAAAGGTTCCATAGGCTTAAAGGATTTAAGCTATCATATTTATACTACACTGGAAATGGATTTTCTTCTTTTCCAATTTTACAGAAAAAGGCAGCAAATTTCATATCAAGTAAAATTAAACAAAGGGAGTGTAGCAGATTTGCACTAGATCATGAATCAGACAAGTAAGTTTTAAGTTATTATCAACTAATCAAGACATTTATTAAAATTAAAATCAGCAAACATAAAGACAAGTAATTTAGACATGTTTTTCTGATCTGCTTATTATTTAATTTTATTGTTTTACCCGGTATATGTAAATATTGACTACCCCAGAGAAAAGTGATATAGGTCTACTGCTATTTTGTCCGAGTCATGTGAATATCTCGCCATATTGTAGGATCATACTAGTTGTCAACTCTTGGCATCTACTGCAGACGATATATATAGGATATAGTCAACACAAGCATCTGCCATCTGAATTTGGCTGAAATATTTTGATGGGCCTCTTTTTAATCTGATTTAATTCTTGGTGGTAGATTGTCAAAATATTCATATGACAATTATATATGTAAATATGAGAAAAAATACAGATCAGATTCCATTAATTTTAAATGGCATCGAGTAAAAATTAGTTCATAAAAAAATGCTATATAGTGAGCACTACAAATAATGATACCAACACTTTGCAAATGTCGATGATATTTTTTCAACAATGATTTAGCTAATTGGCCAAAATTAAAACACTTCACAAAATATAAAAGTAAATGTTGATGATATTATTCTACAATGATTTAGCTAATTGGCCAAAATTAAAACACTTCACTAAATATAAAAGTAAGTTTGAATATCACAAAGTTTTGTTATTTTAGATTTTTATGAAGAAGGCTTATGAGAGCATAATGAAACATGATGGTTTTGACTAACTAACCAGATTAATTTTCAGTATACAGTGTACTGGGTAATCTTTTCACTGGTAGACCGGGATTGCATCAAAAAATAAAAATAACTTGTGAAAAACAGTACTTCTAGATGTCATTTAACACATTTCTGTTCAAATTATTAGTGTATATTAGTTCAATGACAGAATTCAGGGTGATTTACTAGTAAAAGTGCTTTAGAAATTGGTGTACGAATACACTTTTCATTTAGTTGTTCATTCTCAATTTGTTGTAATAAAAAATGTCTTTATATCCAATTTTTAGATATCATTGTCAGTGTGGCCGGAATAGAGAATGGCATCAGAATAGAAATATTCCAGTGGAAATAAAAAGGGGAAAAGAAATTTGGGATTCTAAAACCCATACTCATGAACAGCAATGTGATTCATTTGGTGAAATATCATTTCGAGGATTTGGTCATGACACAACTAATTCTCCGGTAAGTTAAATCAACAACCTGATCAGATTTTAGGTATCTGTACTGTATTATTGAAAGCAATATTGTTAAGTAGACAGTCCACCATGAAGGTTTTTTTAATACTTGAATTTAAAATCTTTATATTAAAATAGTATGAGATTTGTGATATATCAGACTTGTGTCTTTAATTTTGGAATGCTGATCAGTCTCAAATTTTTTAAAGATACTTTTGCAGAAAAGTATTTATCGAGTGGTTATATCCAATAAAAGTATGTCAAATTTGGTATGGACACCCAATCTTGCTAGAAAAATACTGGATAACTCGAAAAATGTCCATGGGGCAAGCACTGGGCAAACTTGTCAGGGTATCACTAACTGGCAACCCGACTGTTAGTTGCCAGCTTATTGTGTGCCAGCTTAAGTGAGGGAGTGGTTGTTATTTCTTGATCAAATGGTTAGGCGGTTTTGGGAACGTTGAGGGGCGTCAACGTACAAAAGACTCTGCAAATAAACGTCGGAAAAAGAAGTTGACAGAAATAATTAAGAATTTATTTAGGCCTCAATATGTATGGTAAATGTACAGTAAGTAATGATGAATACATTCTGAAAAATGGACCCTCCCACAATGAAGCTAAATTGACAGACATTGCGTCTAACAACAGCTTACTTATAGCTATAGGTATCCCCGGCGAATACAAAGTTTTGAGAGGGAATTGAAGCAAATTTTTGATAGATGGTTACTTTGAATATGTTTTTAGTCCAAATATATCATCAAATCACAAAGTTTGTATGCGGGGAAAGTATCTTTAAATATTTTTTAAAGATCTTATATATCCACCACTGTTGAATTGATTGGTTATTTCTGACAACAATGTATAATAATTGTTTTCCAGTATGTCAGATTAGTCCCAAACACAGACCTTATTGACGTATGGGACATTTTAATAAAACATTGGGGTCTACCTGTTCCTAAACTATTGATATCGGTTACTGGTGGAGCTAAGCAATTTGAAATGAAAACCAGATTAAAGTCCATTTTAAAACAAGGTTTAATACATGCAGCTACAAGCACAGGTAAATTATATGAAAATCAGCCTATCTTGAAGAATGAATGAAATTTTTTTGAAAAATTGCACCCTGAATTTGATCATTGTAAATATATACCCGTAGTACAATTCAGTAATAGTACCAATACAATCTGTTGAGACTTTTTATATCCATTTCATCCATATATGAGTACTCTTCAAATAGTAAGTGCAGGGGGCTGCACCACACATGATTATACAAAACAAATCTACGGACAAGACACAATATGCAGAAATCACGCAGGTCCTGTATAATTAATAGGACATTAGGTTCGACTACATGGCTTTGTGTTTAGTATGTGTTCTATTATTCATGATACTCAAGAAACATTGTCGCTCATCTTGGAAGACCTTATTATTAAGTATTACACTTATCTTAATCAGTACAGTTGTAGTTTGTGTCTTATTTATTCCGTTACTAGTATATATGTTAAATTGTCTCAAATTTGTTTTACTATAATTATTATAATATGGGTTGTTACATGCTAACTGTTTTAATCCTCATATAGGAGCTGTAGATTAATGAGATTAATGATATATCAACATTACGATTTCTTATTTAGAGTTCATATTTATCTTTTATATTTTTTTGTTCTTACTCCGTATTTGTAATGAAGATTAAGGGTTTATCAGTATCAACAGTTGTTTTAGTTTAATTGTATATTTCCCTCCCTTTAAGGGTTTCTTATAGATTAATATTAATAATAGTTCATAGGTATTAGGTTGAACTTTGAATGGCTTCTGATTTAACTCTTAATTAGTTTATTGTTATCCACTTGTATATAACCTTCTGTAACATGTTTGATTGTATCATTGCTTGATAACAGTGGGAGAATTCTTATTGAAACGTTAATAAACCTAGTGAATGTTATCCATAAAGTTGTCATTTTATTATATATCCCGTTCACTAAATGCCCTTCAAAGATAGGTCCTGTATAACTGTTAAATTAACCATGGCTTTTATGTTGCCACACTTAGGTTGCATTAATTGCATGACGCATAAATTTCTAGAAAGGAATTTGGTGTCCTGTTAATCTTCTGGATATCTGATTCTAACTTTAACATGTTACAGTATATACAAATGGTTCTTCTATAACATGTTTGATTGTATCATTGCTTGATAACTGTTAATGCCCTCATTGAAATGTTGCAGTTAATAAACCTTATGAATGTTATTCATAAAACTGTCTGTTATTACTGATATTTGTTGTGGTTTTTATTCTATTATGTCAATAGACATCTGCCTAACTTGTGTGTTTCTGTGGGTTCCACCCCTTCCTAGAGCCCCCTATAATACATGCAAAATAAAGAAAAAACAATGTCCACCAGTAGAATATTTCAGCACACACAAAGTTAAAATACTGTGATCTTGTTGAATTTTTTAGCCTCAAATTTATAATTTCCTATTTTGTTGCTATATTTTGATTGTAAATACTTTAGGTGCTTGGATAGTAACAGGTGGTACAGCTGCCGGTGTGATGGAGTTTGTGGGAGAAGCTGTAAGAGATCATATATTCTCTACTGGTAATCCAGAACAAAATCGGGTTGTAGCTTTAGGTATAGCATCTTGGGGTGTTATCAGCAATAATTTTGCTCTGGATGGTGAAGGGGTAAAAACATTTTTTTGTTCACGTTTCTATGAGATTCTAAATAGCTTTGTCAATCTTTCCACTAAGATCTGTCTATGCATTTCTTTGCTTCAATATGTTGAAACACAGACTTAAACTATTGTAATATTACAATTTAACGTTGTCTAAGTGTTGAATAAATTTCTAATTCTATTTCCATTTAGAGTGCCTCTCATACTAAAATCAACAACATATTGTTTTCATAATTATGAATCTATTACACATTCCCAAGTTGCAACACAAATTGTGTAAAGTAAAACTTAATGCCTAATGGCAACTGAAACCCACGAATGCTTTGTGTTTAATATCAACATATTGGAACCATGAAACATGAATATTGTAAATCTAATATCAACATATTAGAATTGAGAACCATGAATGTTGTTTAAAATGGAGACTGGGAATCACAAATGTTATATGAATAACAATATTATCATATGTGAATAGGCAATTATAAATGTTTTATGTATAATATCTGTATGTGAACTTATCAATTATAATTTTGTTGATCAGAGTAATTTATGATAGATATTATCTATTATTATAGGATAAAGGTATATTTCCTGCTGTTTATTCAGTACAAGATGTAGATGATTATGATAAGAGAATACCCCTAGATCATAATCACACACATTTCCTCCTAGTTGATAATGGTACTGAAGGAAAATATGGAGGAGAAATCAAATTTCGTACCAGGCTTGAAAGTTTTATATCACAAAAAGTAGAAACAGGAGTAGCTACTACACAAAGTAATCTTATTTGTTGTATTAATGTAAAGTTTAAAATTTAGTAAAACTATGTTATGTGTGAATGTATATTAATGTTAGGAAGTGGTATAAAATCTATTATGTGTGAATGTATATTAATATTAGAAACTGTTATTTGTGAATGTATATTAATGTTAGAAAGTGGTATAAAAACTATTATGTGTGTGAATATATATTAATATTAGAAACTGTTATGTGTGAATGTATATTAATATTAGAAAGTGGTATAAAAACTATTATGTGTGAATGTATATTAATGTTAGAAAGTGGTATAACAACCATAGGCGTGCGGCCGCCCCCCCCCCCCCATTTTGGGCACCAAATGCTGGGAAAATTTGGGCACACAATTGTACCTTGTAAAAGTTGTATAAAAAAAATATTGTGTTCTTGAATGGGTCCAATTTAACAGCGAATTTATTATTTTATACTAAGAACCTAACTACATTTTTTGGACACCAACCACCACCGCCCCCCCAGTCAAAAATTGCCCCGTACGCCTTATTAACAACTATGTGTTATTTGTGTTGATATATGCTTGCTAACAACTTGTGAAATCTTGTCAAAATGTCGCAGTGAAATACTTTATACTAATACTTTATTAGAATAGTTATGAAATAAATATTTGAAAGCATTGGATTTTTAAATACAAAATAAGTTTGATTATTCAACATCAGCGAATTGCAAAGAATTTACTAGACGTGTTTCTATCACAAGCTATACTGTTTTATATGGTACCAGTGACCCGTATGTCGTCAACTTTGACCTGATCGGCACAGCATCTCGTGCTCGAGTGATAATATTAACAATTGTACTTTTGAGACCTTGTTCATAGAGTAATGAGGTTAATATATACTGTAAAACAATTAATTTGTCAATCAGTTAAGGCTATTTAATGCTGGGCGGCGAGTGGAGTGCTAATACTAATAACATATACAAAACTTCGAGCAGGAATTTAAAGACGTTAACCTCCCGAGACTTTCAAGTGCTATTTGAAATATTTATGTGGTCTTAGTGAAAGAAAACAATGTTGTGGATACCATTCCTGGGTTTGAAGGTCAGGTATCATATGAAAAGGAAAACGGATTAGTAATTTTTTGAATCGATTAACTGAGTGACCGTTTACATCCTTAACCATGTGTATTAATATTATTATATTGATAAGAGAGATTTATATACATATTGTGTTATGTTTTATATTGAAGGTGTTCATGTACCATGTGTATTAATAGTAGTTGAGGGAGGTATAAATACTATGAAGACAGTTCTAGAATCTTTACGTAATAATACACCTGTAGTAGCTATAGAAGGTACGGGTAGATGTGCAGATCTAATAGCATATGGTTTTAAATTGACAAAAAACAAAAATGAGTAAGTGTGTAAATGATTATTTTCATGTTTTATTAAAAAAAAAAATTACGAAAATATTAAGTCATTGACAATATTATTGACAGTATTTATCCATTAGAAAAGTGAAAATAGATTTATCAACCAATAACATATTCGCTTGTGTGATAAATTTCATAATCTACTGGCTTAAATGAGGGGAACAATCTGTCTGGCTCTTTTATTACCACCAGGCCAATAATTATTGAAATTCTTGGTGTAGGCAGAGTGCAAATTAATATGAAGTTTTAAATTAAAATTTTAGATCCCTGTGCACACTAATCTGTGTTATATATTTTCATATTAAACTAAGATTCAGAGAAAATGCTGCACTTTCATAAATGGATGAATGTAAATCATGTTTGAGAGATTCACTTTAATTTTGTTACTCTGAATATAATAACATCAACAGATCACAATGATAACACTTGATCAATTCTCTCAACACAAAATGTTTACTTCAACTGATTGAGACTGTTGAAAATCAGGATTTTGTGGTGCAGACATGGGATATAAAATGTGGCTTTTAAAAAGCCAAGTTCAGTAAAACTTGTGTACCTCTGTTGAAGATACAACAGTATGCTAAGGTTGACACCTGAACACTGAAAATACGTACCAGACATGAGTACCAGAGCCACTGGAAGCAGCATTGCAGGGAGTGTGGGAAAAAATCCCACAAGCAGCTGTTCAGAGGCTTATAGCATGGCTTGTGTGGTTCCAAGGAGGGGACACACACGTTACGGACATGAATTTTAGTCGCGGTGTTGTACCTACGTCTTCATTGTATAGTAATATTAGTAAAGTTGTTATGGCTTTCATCGCAAATGTCCAGCAGAGAATCAGCTGTATTATGTCTCGCCAGTTAAATCAGTGGTGTGCTTTCATTACATCTCACTATATATTGGTATTGTTCTTGTTTTAGTGAAGATAAATGTATAAAAAATAAAAGGATTGATCAAAACTTAACCGACATGGCCAGAAGAACTTGCTTTGATAATAAAAATAATGAAAAAATAAACATGCAAATTGCTCAACTTGTAATAGAATTAAAAGAATGTTTAGAGAAAAGACGATTGGTAAGTAATGTATGCCTACTTGTTTCTATACTCACATTCAAAATGAAAAACTGTGTAACCATTTTAAAAATATAAAGTAGATTTCGTTTTTTTCTTTAAAATTTCTTTTGTATACCTTGAAGCAAACAATGAACCTTTTTAACTCACTATACCCAAGTTGTGAAGGAATAAAAGCAATTGGTGAAAGTTAATGTAGAACTTTGTCTTTTTTCCCCCTGTAGTTGAATGTATTCAGCCTAGAAAGAGCTGATGTGAAGGAAATTGACCGAGCAATTCTTTATGCTTTATTAAAAGGTATTTGTTATATATCTATTAATTACCTAGAATGGTAGTTTATCTTAGTGAATATTAATTCATCTTTTACTTTGAATTCATATTCAAGTAAATTATGGTAACAGGACATGTTTGGTAAAATGTATACTTTTTTGCTGAATAGACTAATTTGGCTAATGGACTGGTATTGAAAAGAAGTATGAAGCATAGAAATAGAATGAGCATAGAAATTACTATAAACTTCAAATGGTCTAATAAGAAATAGTTGGTTTGAATTGAGTTTTGACTAGGTTTTTCTGTTATCTTTACATACCTGATATTTGATCTTTCTTCAGGCATAGATATAAAGAAAAAAGATTTTGTGTTTTTAATACAATTAAAAGAATAAATATTTGTTGCTTTCAGCCAATAAATCTGATGCCAATTCCCAGCTTGCTTTAGCTTTAGCATGGAATAGATGTGATATAGCCAAACAAGAAATATTTACTCCATTTAATCGTAAAAGATGGGAGGTAAGTTTTATTAATTTTTGTGGCTTAGTGATTAACTTCTTTGACTGGCATTTAGCAATTGACACGCATAGTAAACACAAAAACCTTGATAACGTTTAGAGAACCCTTTACGAAACGTGGCTTTGATTAAAAATAAACTAGTATTTGTGTTCCATATTAATAATATTATGTTTTTGTGTTATTGCTCAGTGAATAAGATGCTGGCTCGCTGAACCAGGAGATCTCGGCTTTGCTTCCGATGTTGACCGAGAAAGTTTCTCAGGTTCTTCTGACTCGGTTTCCACCTGTCAGTGTTGTAGGACGACGGGCTGGCAAGGACATTGTCTTGTCCTTCAGATGTGTCCAAAAGTTGAGGTGTTGTGTGCACATTGCTGTGCAAGTAAAAAAAAACAACATTACAGTTTGAATTCGATATAAGGGTAGGCCATAGCTTTGCAATCCGGGAGAAATTTCCTTCATAGCACACTGTATGGCGTCTACTCATATTCATTAACCCAGGAAAGTAGGACGTAAAACCCCATTTCATTTCATTTATTTGTGAAACACTATGATAGAGATCGTTTGAATGAAATAAAATGGATGAATAATCTTGATGTACAAATATCAAGGGAAATACTGTACTCACTTCGACAAAATATGTTATGCTTGAAGCAAAATTACAAGTTCTCACATAGAATTGTAAATTAATGTTCAACATAAAACTCTCAAATGAATAAGATGTCTCCTTTATTAAAGGGGAGCCAGGGTGGCTAAGAGAGTGGTTTCCTCTTGTCAGTGGTGCAGGACGGAGGGCTGACAAGGACAGCTGTCTAGTCGTTCGAATGATACCAAAAAACGTACACATTGGCGTGCATGTAAAAGATCCCTTGGCATTTTGAATTCGATATAAGAGTAGGCCATAGTTCTGCTGCAAGGGCAAAATTTCCCTCATAGCACACTGTATAGCATATGCCCATCTTCATTAGCCCAGTGGGAACAGAACAGTAGGATGTCAAACCCCATTTCATTTCATTTCCTTCATTAAAGAGAAAAAAAACCCCACTAGAATACATATATTTTGATTTATAATCCTTGGCGTGGCATTTAGCGATTGAGCACATTAAAAAACACAACACAATTTATATGGAAAACAATCACTGATTTATACACATATAGCATGGCGCTTTGACAAGTATTCTCTTTTTATTATCAAGTTCTATATGTAAAAAACAGTTATTGTTTTCCATATCAATTGTGCTGGGTTTTTTTTTTTAATATTTTATTTTGTTGAAACTCAGAATTTGTATAAAGATATTCAAGCTTGGCTTAAGAAATAAGTTTTCATTCATAAATACACATGATTTGCCTCATTGTTTGTACTGAAACATACCAAGTTATAGCTTTGTATGATGGAAATAGATTTTAAAGATATAAATAGATAATTTAAAAATTGATTAATTAGTGTGTGTGATAAGTGATTTTGTATTTCTTATTAGAAAGATTATGACAGAGCTTCAGATGGCTACACAGGGCCAGGATAATGGTTTCTAAGGGCCTTTTGCAAAAAAATTAATCATTTTTATTCATTGAAATATATATATATTGCCTCATGAATATGTATCATTTAGGAGTCTCCATTTATTTCAGCCACGCACCTTGTATGATGCCATGTTAACAGCTCTTGTACAAGACAGAGGAGATTTTGTTCAACTATTTCTTGATAATGGTGTTGATTTTCAGAAGTTTCTAACAAAGGCAACACTGAGGAATCTCTATTCTTTGGTTGGTATATGAAGATAATTATAACATTTGAGTCGCGTTCACACAACTTGTTGGTTAATTTCTCCCAATTATTCCTTTAGAATTTTAGTTCATTTATTCTGAAACATCCCCTCTTTAACTGTTCCACAAAAATATTGCGACAGGCTTAAAGGAGCTTAATCGCTAATATTTGGGACCTAGAAATTGACCCAAATGGGTCGCAACGCAAATAATAATGTAATCTGATTGTATATAAACTGATTTACATTCAATTGTGTCCGTTTTGACTCTAATTTCAAATCAGTTAGGTTAGGTCTCAACAGAATAGAAATTTCTAGCGTCTGGTTATTCCAATCTTATTACGCATGCTCTCCAGATAAGTTCTTTCGTCGCCGTATGACATCAGTTGTGGAATATGTCTAGCCTCGCTCTTTCTGGTCACTTGTTACAAATGACGATGAAACGCACTATGGTACATGATTCGTGTACCAATGGTAAAATGTTTATTTTGTCTTAAATATTGGATATCAGAAGCCTACCTTTTCCCGGTGTAAGATAACAACATCAATGTTGATTTGAATTGACAAATAATTCGTGTTTTCAACTGGTAAGACTTTGGATGATATTGAGTTAAAGACTTAGCTACTTTAATATATGTGACCTGTGCTGGCAAAATGAGTCAGAATGTGCAAAGTCTAATAAAAAACAAGTGAAAATATCGACTTTGATCGAAATTGAGATTTTCACAAAAATTTGGTCTGTCTATCGACCCAAAAGATTAGAATAGCAATAAACATATTAAAACACCCTTATTTGGCCGTTTTTTTAAGAGTACCATTTTCATACATTTTTCTTTTTTCTTAAAATTCTCAGCGAAATTAGTTATTTTACTCTGCTCTTAGCGGGACAACCGGCCAAACAAAACACACGTGCAGCTGTGGCAGCTTATGTGATGATCAAGAAACTAAACTTGATTACCCAATCAACACAATCTTAATCTCCTGATAACTAAGGTGCTAATTAGTAATTAATTGATGAGATTAACAGAAGTTATTCTCACCAAAGATATAATATACAAAACATAGATTACTAATGTATTTACAGACTATTCTCATTTGTTCTAAATTATAACACTTATCATAGGAAATGTGAATATGCCTCATGTTTTCCAGTTGGTGGGAAAAAATATATAAACATTTTTTTATATAAAAATTATTATCCATTTTGGCAGAAATTGTCGGCTCAAATTTTTACCACGATTTTGGCCTTCAGCACCCCGAAAACGTATAGAAAGAAATATTAAACGACAAAATAGCAAATTAATGGCATGGTTGCTATGTGATTTTGTTTTGGAACATACCGACATCTTTAACTTGCTTTTTCTCACACTTACTTTCCTGACTTGGTCAGCTTCAAACGGACACAGCTCAGTCAATGTGTGCCCGATTCAAAGGTATTGAGATGGAGAATGTGAAACTAACAATAACTCAATTTTAAAAATTTCCTCATTGCTACTCATTTTACCAGCACTGGTGGTCACATATACCGAGCAGCATAGATTGATCAAATTTCAATTCAACATATCTTTGTAAGTATTGAACAGAAAGGAACCATTTTTGGGCTTGTATTTCTGTTAAAGATTCGTCTTTCACAATATTGAAGTCAATGATGCAATGGGATTTTAAATGCTATGAGCATAACCTTTATCTGGGTTTTTATTATATAAAATCAGCATTACTACACATAGTTTTGAACTAACCATATGATAATGAAAATACTATAATGATTATTTCAGTGTATAAATGATTATATGGATGCCAATGGTGAAATTTTACGATATATGATAGGATATACACAGGTAAAGCTATACACCCTCACTACTCTCTGTAAAAATTAAATTGCAATGTTATGTTCTTAACAGTTTTCTACTTATCTTGCAAAATGTACATATATTTTAAAAATTCATGCTGATTACTAACTACAGAATTTTAAAATGAAATGCATTTTTCAAAAAATCTTCAAGAAAGTAGCTCCAACCCATAAATTATTGATATTAGGTGACTAAAAGTATAAAATCATTTCTTATAAATTACAAAAAAAAATCATTACGGTCTCCATGGATCACAAACAGATAATTTATAAAAAATCCACAGCAGATAACAAACTACTGTATTTCATCACTTAGGAATTACTGTCTCTCTTGGTGTAATGAAAGAATTAAACTACATTACAAAAACTTTTTATTCATATGAATACATGCAATAGTTGCAAACCCCTAAAATGTCGACATTATTTTCTTTCTGTTTATTCCACCTGTCATTGCATTAACAACTATAGACATGTTTAAGAAATATGATTTGTATTCTTTGACTACATTAAAATAGTTTTCAATCAAATCCTTCAAAAGATTTTGTGGAATATTCTGTATATATCTGCACCCTATAAATAAATTTGATAAGATAGAAAGGTGTAAAAAACATAAGGTAAAGTTTTTATTATTTTAATTGTACAGATGAATACAAACCTAAAAGTCCTGTCATATGACTCCCTGCGGAACCCATTGACCACTGAAACCCTGAACATCTTGAAATCCATAGACTTTGTTGCAAGAACCAGATTGATTTATACTTGTTTTCTGCCTGTAAATATTTGTTATGTAGATGTGGAAACACAAATAAAAGCCAACAGTTGTTGTCTTGACATCTGTAGGTAAACAAGTGAAGGATGTTGCTGTAGAACCCTTCACTTTGTGGATAATACAACATCACAGCTACAAATTTGATTGCTTGTCTTCAACTGATGAATTACAGTCTAAGAGCATACAACACTGCAGATTTGTCAATGTTAGCACTAAAATCAATTTAAAAATAGGGATGAGAAGTTTGGATCAGGATGATTAAATGAGGTTAAAGATTATATCTATACTAAGAAATTTATTTTTCTTTTCAGCAAACCTGGGCAAATTATTTTATGTGTAGAGACCCAAAAGTTGATAATGATGATCAAAATATATTAACGAATGTTAGTGAAATTCTAGTAATTCTTATGAAAGATTCTGCGATGGATATTTACAAAGGTGTGTAACAGTCAACATTTTAGTTGCACCTACTAAGGGTTTTATGGAATTAATATTTAGCTAATCATAACTAGATGTGTTTTGATGAATGGCTATACTAAATTTAATTGGATATCTATAAATGGGGTGGCCATCCCTGATTTCTCTCTTGAACCTACCAGTTTCATTCTATGCAAACACTTAAAAGGCTTAAGTGAAATTGTATGTGGGAGTTAGTTGTATTTTAAGTCTGCTTCCACCGAGGTGATATCGCGGACAAAAATGAAATTGTGCAGCTGTTCCTTTTATATAGTATTTGAGGATGGGAGCACAGTAAAAGTCTTGGGTGGATCGGATCAATTCTATTTCACCGGAATCGCTCCTTTGGTAATTATGTGTCCTTATACCAAATATAACAGACAGATATTTTGTAGGTTTCTGGGATAGAAGAATTTAGATCATCTTCACAATAAATGAAATTATCATGGCCAGACTACTGTCAGCAGCTTAACATCATAGACGGAGATTTTCATCTGATAATTTTGAGATAAGCTTGATTAAATGATACTTGGAAGCCAACAATCTCTCAATCAATCATAGTTTTATCCTTTGTAAAGTCTTTAGTCAGAAAAATGTACGATTAAAATAACAAAAGACTAAATGGCCACTTTTTATTTGAAAGAACTGAAACTTTATTATCATATAGGACAAATGCTAATTTATTATCACAGTGATGTTTCGATAATCAGAATAAATGCGCCAAGTATGATCAAGTATAACCATCAGAAAAAATAGGATCTCCTGATCAGATGAAAACAAAGCAATAAAATCACGACCAGGTAGATCATGAAAACAATATTTATTTACAATGTCTTCTGAAAAACAATTTTAACTATGTTAAGATAAAAAAAAAGTTTTCCATTGTTAATTGGGAGATGAATTTACTACTACAAATAAATTATGAATAATGCCTATAGTAGCAATAGTATTTTGGCAAACATTAATGAATACTGTATCAAACTTTTTTCCTTATTTTATCAGGTACAGAATTTGCTGTGGAAGGTCCAGTAGAAATGAAGTGGGTTGGTAATATCGAAATTCTGAATTCTCTTAAAGAAAGAATAACACAACAAAACCTACATCAACCAATCAAAGGTAAGACTATCCATTAGTTAACACAATATAATGGTTTTCTATCCTAGTGGTCAGTACAATAGACTCGCCCTGGTCAACTTGATATAAATTTCGTTCTTCCTGTATGGTCCGACATAAATAGTTTATTTTCCACAAACAAGTGTGTTGTAATTTTTATAATTTTCCTTTTTTAAAATTTTGTGGTAGTATTTACCCATTATTTTACAGAAGTAGATTGCTTTTTGACAGTATAAGTTAACATTAGTTGTAAGTATTGGGTGTTCAAAACAGATAACTGGCACAGCGAGACAATGACATATGTACAGCAAGAACATATATACCGGTACATGCAAAATATAAATAAAATTTGAAACTAAAACAAGAACTAAACATTTATACCTATATACATAATCGTTAAGTGGCATTTAGCAATTGAGCACATTAAAAAACACAACACAATTTACTTGGAAAATAATCACTGGTTTATACACATATAGCACAACGTTTCGACAAGTATTCTCCTATTTAAACAATAATAGAAGACTTGTTGAAATGCCGTGCTATATGTGTATAAGCCAGTGATTATTTTTCATAAAAATTGTGTTGTGTTTTTTTAATGCCTATATACAGTTGGCCATTCCTTTAATTTATATTTTCTTATTTTTAAAAAACTTTGTGTTTGAGTAGAGATTAGTATGACTGGTTGTGGTTTGTCTTACAGGAAAAAAGATGAAAAAAAAAATAATAGATTCTTACGATTTTGACTTTCCTGTTCGAGAACTTTTTATATGGGCAGTACTCTTCAATAGAAGAAGGTTGGCACATCTTTTTTGGAAATTGGGAACAGATCAGTTGGGTATGTATGTTTTTTCTTATTGGAAAGAATACTTATCTTAAAGGGCCAATCCTGATAATATTTTGGAGAATAAAACGGCTTAATTTTGGGTTAAAATCCCATACAAGCTTCTACCTTAGGGCGGAGCAACTAACTCAATATATGTGATACGTTTTCAAACAACTTAAACCCATCAATCTTCATCTGGAAATGGAAGCCAGCTTCCCAAGCTGTATTATGCGGTGTCTGGATAAAACCAATACTTTTATTTTATAAAAATAATGTGTCAGTGAAATTTACCTTTCGTTATCAAGTATAGCACATGGGTCAATCACTGTATAAACCTCAAAAGGAACGGGAATCGATTATCAGGTCACCCGTCAAAAAATTGACACAAAATCTTAAAAGGGTTACGTGTCCGGATAAGCAGTTTTGAAGTTCACGTCCAAACGACTTAATATTTTGAGCTAAAATTTTGAGAAGGAGTATATACAACATTCCTCTATATTTTGGCGTTTAAATTGCATACGTACTCAGACTTTTATTTTGTAGACTCTGTTCAAATCGGGATAGTCCCTTTAAATCCCCAACATGGCAAAATGAAAGATCTTTTTATTACAATACATTTTGGTCCACAAATGGCTATTTTAAGTGTCTATTGATTTCACATCACCATCTTTATGTATCTTAGCCAAATAAAGTAACAATAATTCTAACTCAACTTTATTATGTTGTCTGTTTTATTGTGTGAATTTCACTGGTTAAATTTTAGGTGCAGCCTTAGTAGCTTGTTCATTATTGAAGCAGATGGCTAATAAAGCAGAACAAGAAGAAGAGTTAGAACTAAGTGTTGATTTAAATGAACATGCTGTGTATGTTACAGTTTCTTTATCTAGCAAATATATATGGTCATTAATGTTTTATTTGATTCATAATTACAAAATTAATTGTCAAATATTTAATTAACCCCACAAAACAATTATATAAAGACTTAAGACTTTCTAAATACCACTCACTGCTCAATTAAAAAGCTTTAAACCTCCTCTGATCTGTTAAAAACATTTCATTTATATTTGACCCAGAGTAGGAGAACCTGTGTATCACCCTTGTTGATACAAACTAAGAAAAATACAAGTTTATGTACAAGTAGCAAAAATTGTCAAGTACAACTTACAATCTAGTAGAGTCTACAGATTTAAGCACTGATTTTGTAGTTCTAATATGGACACGATTCCTTCAAACTCCCATCCCCATGATATATAAATTATGTTACACCTTTCTCATTAGTTGTTTGCAGAATGATTATTATCCATTGAAGAGTTCACTGCAAATATTTATACAAGTCAAATAATGGTCTATAAAAACTCCCAGGAATATTGTCTATAAAGTTGTATGTAACATTATATAAGGTGTTTTGTTTTGTTTTTTTCTTCTAGAATATTTGAGAAACTGGCAACCAATGTTTTAGCACAGTGTTACAGTCAAGATAAAAGAATGGCTCAACAGTTACTGACTAGAGAACAGACTCTGTGGGGTAGAAGAACTTTATTTCAAATTGCTAATCAAAATACCTTGATGGACTTTTTAGAACATTCATGCTGTCAAACCAAGTTGAATACCATCTGGAAAGGAACAATGGCTTTATATACATCAGAATTAAAGGTAGGTTTGATTTCTGGAAGGCAGGTAGATATTACTTCGGGTCTTTCAATTCTTCCATTTTTCTATCCTTCCATCACAGTATTTGAAACTGGATAACATTTATTTCTTGTCAATGGATTTTGAGAAAATTTGGGATGTACTTAGATTGTCATAGTTGCTCGCCTAACTTCCAACATCAGTGCTATCTGTGCATGCTTAATTAGTATACTGCAGTTAAGAAAACAAAATCAAAATACCAACGCTAGATAATCGCCCGGCATCGATTCAATCGGATGAAACATAGCCAATAAAGATAGTAGCTGTCTTGTTACATATCGAGCAGTATAGGTCGATTCAATTTCCAATTCTTCATATCTTTGCAAATTTGAATGGAATTGAATCATGGTTGGTCTGATAGTCCTTTTAGAGATACAATTTTCACAATTTCTTTGTTTTTTGCAAGGAATTCAATTGTGCTAAAATCATGCATAGGGTCATTAATAATTAATAATCTGTGAAAAGAACCAAGGAATTTCTACAGGGAGGATTTATATGAAATTTTGTAAATGATAACTTTGTAACTATAGATCAGTTTTAAAACTTTCTCTCTTTAATTTTCAGATATGTATTTGTATACTATGTCCATTGTTGTTGCCTTTTATTAAATTCTCAACCCATAAAACAATAGAAGATATTGTTGATGATGAAGATGAAGATGACGAGGATGCAGAAAATGTGGCTGAAACAGATTTTAGTGGATCTCCTTCAGGAAATAAAGTTGTCCCAGTTGAGGGATTTACCGAAGCTAAATCCCGTAAAAGTATAAAGATAAAAAAGAAAAGAACTTATGCAGTAGATTATTTTAAATGTGATAGAAATAATGTTAATATCATTTCAGCTGTTGTCTTCTTCTATTCTGCACCAGTATCAAAATTTTATACAGGTCTGGTGAGTAAACTATTTATTAATCTATTAAAGTATAAATACCCCCTAATTCCTCTAGTGCAAACTTTTAAAAGGGAAAATAAATCAGATGAATGCTATTTTGGTGGCCCCTCCCCATATATATACACACACACCACTTCCACTCCCCATCTCCCTATATTTTATCTATAAACATGTCTTATTTTAGCGCTTGAATTCCAACCAAGTAGCCATTTATAGGTGCAAACTATAATGTCTTAAGAAAGTTGTTAACAATATTAAGTTACTCTTATAAAGTTATTTTGTGACTAAAGGGAGGGAACTCTCTTCATTTTTATTCGGCTGACTTATTTCGATGTGAAGTCCACACTCTTTTACTCGGTAGAGTTTTTTTATATATATATATACTCGCTAACAAGTTTTTTTGTAGAGATAAGAAAGCTTTAATGTTGTTTTAGCTGTTGAAATCATTAAGTTATTCTTCTTTTTTAAATCTTTTTAGATCGCATATTTATGCTTTCTGGGAATATTTACATTTTTTGTATTAACTGATCTACGACCTGCTGATGTTGTTAATTCTCCATCTGTGTATGAATATATAACCTGGGGTTGGTTATCTACAATGGTTATTGAGGAAATTAGACAGGTCAGTATATTACACAGATATAATATAATAGATACAATAAATATTCTAATAATTACTGGCATATATACTAATGCTGGTAGACATTTATTTGGAACTTTTTAATTCACAATACAAAATACTACTTGATCTTAATTAAGGAAATTGATCCATAAAATTTACTTTAAACAAAAAGAATAATCATGATAATTAACAATATATAGCGGATGACAGAGGGTATCTCCCATGTAAATAAAATGATTGTTTTAACTTGTGTGTCAGTTAAAAAAGATGTGTGTTACAGAATAATCAAATTGTAAATTTTACAGAATTATTATTCTGATTGTTCATGTGAAAACTAGTATTGTTCAGGAATATGTTCTTCATTGGTGTTTATTGTTTTGGTCATATTGTAGTTAATAGTAATCTACTATTAAACCTTTTACACCCTTGTAACATCTTTATATTTACTGTTTGGAAAGTCATTGTCATTTTGCCTGATATTGCCATATCTATTTGAGTTTTTTTATTTTGATTAACAGATATTTGTACTGGACCAGCCCCCGACGTATAAATTACGCAACTGGATAAGTAGCATCTGGAATCGTTTTGATTTAGCAATGTATGTGATGTTTTTGATATCAGTGATATTACGCTACACAATATTTACTTCTGAATTTATTTGGGCTAGAATGGGTTACAGTATAACATTGGCTATGTTCTATCTGCGACTCATGCAGTCATTCTTTGTTGCCAAAAATATGGGGCCAAAGGTTATCATGATAGAAAAAATGGTAAGTATATAAATGATTAATTTTGTTATTTTCAGGATTAAATCATAGCTAATGACAATATCTGACATTATATCAACATATATAAAGATGCACATGATCATGTACTCTAAATTCTACAGAGGCATTAGTACTTTCAACTAGATAATAAGTGAGATTAATGCTATTACACTATCAATTGTCCCAAACACAAAAAATGAATTCCACAGAATGAGAACCTTGAAAATAATGATTTTATGATGAGAAATTGGGTATAAGATGTGACTTTTAAAGCAGAATTACAATGATATACTATTCAAAAAAAGTAGGGGATATTTGATTTTGGGGGCATAATACTAAAATATGCAAATGACTACGAAAAAAGTCACTACTACCGCATGGAATGCAGGTGATGCTTGGGATCATCATGGGGGTCCAACCCAAGATTTGCACGACTCTGACTTTGAATGTTACAGTCATTGTGGCATTGAATTCCAGGGTGGAAACATCAGTTTAATTGTTTTAGTGACCAGAAAACAAATTTTGATATGCGTCGGCTTACCCAAAATGAAAGGTTACGTGCCCTTGGCATGCTACAGATCGGCACAACACAGGCGGTTGTGGCGCGGACGATGAATGTTTCTCAGTCTGTCATAAGCAGGCTATGGTCCAGATACCGTGATACACAATCTGTACAGGACAGTCCACGCTCAGGTCGACCAAGGGCGACAACTCAAGCCCAGGATCGATTTATCCGTACCTTGGCCTTGAGAAATCGTGTCATCACAGCAAATCAGATCAGCGCTCGTCTTCAAACAGACACTGGTGTGAGAGTGAGTGGCCAGACGATTCGGAATCGACTGCATAGGGGTCACCTTCGCGCCCGACGTCCTCGCGTGATCCCTTGTTTGAGAGATCATCACATTCAGGCAAGACGTCGTTGGTGTAGGGATCGTCAACACTGGGATAATCGACGCTGGAGCAATGTGATGTTTTCAGATGAGTCAAGGTTCCCTGTTGATTTTTTGGACAGACGTAGGAGGGTGTGGCGTCGTCGAAACGAGTGCTTCCAAAATGTTAACGTCATCAGACATTATCGATTTGGGGGTGGTTCTGTTATGGTGTGGGGAGGCATCACTGTTGCTGGAAGAACGGCTTTACATGTTGTTGCAGGGCGTGTTACAGGCCAGTACTACCGGGACAACATCTTGGCAGTCCATGTTGTGCCGTTCGCACGACGTCATGGCCGCCGTTTCATCTTCCAGGATGACAACACAAGATGTCACAGGGCCAGGATCGTTACAGGTTACCTCCAACAACAGAACATCACCACATTACCTTGGCCAGCACTGAGTCCCGACCTCTCCCCCATCGAGCATGTCTGGGACATGCTTGGACAGAGGTTACGTCAACGTCAACAACGTCCTGCCAATGTCCAAGAACTTGCTGCTGCGTTGCAACAGGAATGGGACAATCTGGACCAAAATGACCTTAGACGTCTCATTAGGAGTATGCCACGTCGGATCAATGCTTGTTTGGCAAACAGAGGAGGATTTACCCGTTACTGACTTGGTTGTGATGCTGTGGTAACTTTGCTGTTTGACCCCGGGTATCATTTTACCCTTAGAATGGTCAGTCTGTGCCTTACTTAGTCTAACGATCATTTGGAATAAATCGATGAATGTGAACTTCATTTCATTTTGTCATTTGTTTCTTCGTCAGTTTCATTAGGTGACTTTAATAACACTTAAAAATCAAATATCCCCTACTTTTTTTGAATAGTATATATACTGGCATTATATCCTTAAATGACATTTAGAAGTAGAGGTATGGTATTCATATTAACACAACTTTATTGATTTACTAATTGTTATCATTGCTTGATAAACATACCTGTAAGAGTATTGAAATGTTGCATGTAATAAACTAACAATAACGAGTAGTAACTCCATAAAGTTGTGTTATTATGAATATATTGTGATTATTTCAATGTTGAAAGAATTGTTGTGGAAGTTAATTGGAGTTTATTTTTTGTTTTTTTCAGTTAACTGATCTATTTTTCTTTTTCTTGATACTATTGGTGTTTATAATGAGCTTTGGTATAGCTTATTCAGCCAATCTGTATCCAAATTCTCAACCGAGCTGGGTCATTCTAAAAAACATAATGTATATGCCATACTGGCAGATGTATGGAGAGCTGTTTTTGGAGAGAATTGAGGGTAAGTAGATAATAAGTGCTCACATATTTTGTACTTTTTAAATGAATCGTATTCACTTAAGTTTAGTTATACTTAAACTGATGATTTACTTGACTGTACATAAGACTTAATAATAACAAATTTAATTAATTAAGATCCCTAAGGTTGTCAAATTATTTGTACCCAAAATTATTTTATATATAAGTAAAATATCACTTCATCTAAAATTAGTTATTTTTTCAAAATACATGTACATGTAGTTGATTACAGGGAATTCTCAAATTTGTTGTAGAACAGCAATAGAATCTTTAAAAGGAATGTAATTGATCATTATTTATGTTAAAAGTGTTTTTGTGCATGATAAAGTGTTACTGTTAGTGTAGCAGTGTGAGCGTATGTGACTTGGAGATAGCGGCGCCTTCTTAACGTCGTGGGTTTACTCCGAGTTCCGGTTTCCACCCACAAGAAAGATCCGTGCACATAGTTCAAAATAAAAATACAAATACAACAACTTGTCAACAATATCACCCTCGGTGGTAGGGGATGTTAAACACTAACAACAACAACCCAATCTTAATAGAGAAATAGGATTCCCTGAAAAACACTCATGGGGCAGATACAGAATTAAAATGTATGGGTATCCTTAAACGACATGCTGGGTCATTCCATGTCAAGTGGACCAGTGCTTGTAAAGTGACCCCCTCCAAAAATTATGAAACTACTATTATATAACTCGATTTTTGTGATCTGATTTTATTCCTTTTAATCAGTCTATATTCTTGAAATTGTGGGGTTTGTAAGAGAATGTTATATAGATTAAGAATTTACCATAGACCATAGAAATGTTACTACACTATATGAGAAGTTGTTACTTATCACATGCAAAATGTATCAATGGGTATTGTTTGAACAAGCATTGTGATTAAAATGTTATGATAGAGATAAATTAGTTTGAACATGTTTTTAGTACATATATATTACCAAATCACACCGTTTGTACTTGGGAAGACATGTTTAAACTTTGTCTCAAGACGATGTTTAACGTATTAAATCATCATGTCCAGAATATGTGTTGAAGCTATTGTAATAAATAAAGGTATCTGTAGTCTTCTTTCTACATTATCATGTATGCAGAATTATAGATAAATGTAATTTATATGAATATAGAAACCATATTGTTATTCACAGGTGATGATGATCCAGAAAGTTGTACCAGAAATGAAACTATTTGGAGGAATGATTTATCACTGCGTTGTCCAGAAAAGAATGCTATAGTACCAATATTACTAGCTGTTTATATGATATTAACAAATATATTACTGGTAAATCTACTCATTGCCATGTTCAGGTACGTCAATTATTTAATGCTATGTTGAATAACGAACCAGAGAAACTTTGATAAAGTTAAAGGGTTTAGGTTGATTTAAGTCATCACTCTTTAAAACTCTACCCATACCCGTTTCAGCAAGTTTGACCGATCGGTTATTGAGCTATGGTCATTTGAGTATTGGCAGTAAGTCTGACCAAGCCAAAATATGGAATATCAGATTTTTTCAGCCAAAATAAGAATATAAACCAAATTTCAGGAAAATCGAAGGAGGTACTGTTTACTTTTTAATTTTAGGGTGATTTGAGACAGACCCAGAAGTAAAATGTTAATAATTAGAGGAACATGACCCCTCCAAATAAATTATAAAAAAATATATGTTATAGTAAATGGCCTTAAGCTAACAAATCCAAAATTGTACCTCTCTATGTCGAAAACTCGCTGAGATATGGCCATATGAAATTAGGGTACTGAAACGGATCATAAATTTAGTAATTTTTTTTCAGGTTTTCGGGTGCTTTAAACTCACATTTCTAATAGAAGTAGATCTCTCTATCTTTATAATCTAAGACAACTTTTGGTGTAGATTAATAATTACAAATATTTAATCATTTTGGATGTACATTTTATTTTTCTAATTTTCTTTTTACCTCCAAAATGAGAACAAAATGGTTAATACACTTTTCGAATAGGAATATTGTGTTTTGACTATCAGATTAATTATTTCTGAAAGGCTTAGATCCCTCATATTTGTCATTTTAGATCAACTCTTAACATAGAATAAGAATAAAGATTCTTTTAGGATCCAGGGAGTATCGTTTCAATTTAATTTTGCTCTTAAAAACAGATGAAAACTTGTTTTGTCTGCTTAGAAAGTTGAAGTACAGTAGGCCTTATGTAGTTTCACTGCCACTAGACTTCTCGAAACTACAGGCCGCAATTCTTAACGCATCGTCTTGAGACTTTGCATACTTATTCCTTATATCCTGAGGCTGTTCCCCCAGGGGCAGAGAGCCACGCTCAATTTTTGTCTTAGACAAAATTACTGAATTTATGATCCATTTCAGCACCTTAATTTCAAATGGCCCTATCTCAGTGAGTTTTTGACCTAGAGTGTTAAAATTTCAGGTTTGTTAGTTTAAGGCTTTATACTATAACATATATTTTTTGGAGGGGGTCATGTTCCCACCATTGGTCCAGATAACATGGAATGACTGTAGATCTTGTGATATGTTGTTTTTAGCAGAATCATTTTTTTATGGAACTTTAATGAAATTTAAAGCATCTTTGATCAACAAAGCTTCCTGAGATATTAGACTGTCATTTAATGCGAGTTTGGTATTTATTATTTCAGTTATACATTTCAAACCATTCAAGATAATTCTATGAAAGTGTGGAGATTCTATCGTCTGTCGCTAATCTATGAACTGTTTGATCGTCCAGCCTTAGTACCACCACTCATAATATTAAATCATCTATATCGTTTGTTGATGTATCTAGTTAATTCGACATGTGGAAGTTTCCAGACTAAAAACGATTTCAGTAAGTAGAATAGTCTGCATTAAATCTTACTTATTTGTAAGGTAAAGAATCTATTTTTAGATGTGTTGTTATGTATGTATGGACTGTAAAAAGTGCCCGAACATTTTGTATAATAGATACAAATCAAATGAAATAGGGTTTAACGTCCTACTGTTCTGCACTGACTGAGCTAATGAAGACAGGCATATGCCATACAGTGTGCTTTTGAGGGGAATTTTGCCCGGAAAGCGGTCCTATTGCCTACTCTTATTTTGAATGCCATCTGTCAAGGGTTCTTTTATGTGTACCCCAATGTGTACACAGATCCAGTTCTTTGCCCAATCCGAAAGACTGTACGTTGTCCCTTGCCAGGCCTGACATCCCTCACCACTGTCAGAAAATCCTGATGAACTTTCTCGACTATCACCAGGATTGAACATGGGACCGCAAGGTCAGTGAGCCAACGTCTTACTAAGTCACCGGGACTCTCTCTCAATAGATATAAGGAACACACAAACATACAATATTTTGTATAACAATATAAACATAATGAATGTAACATACATTTACATTTATTACACCTCTAGATGTTGTTACCTGGTGGGTCAAATATGTGTGCTGTAGAACATAAGATTTGTAGATGCCAAGGGTTCTAGCCTTCTAAGATTCTCAAGGTACTCTAGTTTCCTCCCACTTCTATTTAAAGATAGATTATTGGAGATTTTAATAGAGAGTTGGCCATTCTTGCTATAACAGTTCAAAAAAAGATGATGAAAGAAGAATATATCGAAAATTTCAGTCAAATTACTTTATTCTGAACAAAGTTATCACCTTATCACCATTGTAATTTTTGACTCAAAATAGGCGTCAACTCTCTCTTTACCGTCTCCGAGAATGGCCGATCGTTTGATTGAAAGGCGTTAACTCCACCTACATAATCTTGATTATCAAGTAACATTTTCAATGGCTGTGGTACCGTTAGCCTATTCGGTTTGAGATCAGTTTGCAATTCAATTCGTATCACATTTATTTTTACTACAAATTAAAAATAAGACTTTTGATATATAGACAAGAAGCGAAAGTTTGAAAGGAATGGACCAAATCACTGAGGCATAATTATAGCCAACTTCTTGTTAGCCTGCGTGTACTCTTGTACTGTAACTGGTAGGCCTACGTAACTCCCGAAGCAGACAAATAGGAAACGCAAGTTCTATAAACTCAAGTGACAAAAGAGCGTATAATACCGACATCCAAACTCTCATTTTAATCACAACTAAACATAATATCAAATTGACTGACACGTGGCCTCGCTCAATAGCGGCCTCGCATTGTACACTCTATCATTTAGCCTCGATCTAAAATTTCCGGGAGTATGACATCAATGTAATGGTTAATCTCCGCTTATGACGCCATTTAAAAATTTAATCAATCAATAAATTCCTGTTTAAATCCAAGCCGAATCCAAGCCATCCGTGGGTCTAAAGAGTTGATTTTGTGCTTGTTGTGTAAATAAAGATCTAATTTATAATTTCTATGACATCTGAAGCCTAAATAAAGACTTGCAATAATCAGATATAGGTCTTGCATAATGTATGTTTAACACCCTGGTGTTAGTGGTGTATTGAAGCAAAAATAATCTGTATTTTAGTACCAAAATGACATTGTTAATGTTGAGTGGATGTTAAACTCTTTTTATACGCCCGCATTTTCAGGTCAAAGTGTTTAACAACCGAAAGATCTTGGTTTCTTTCCATATTGGCACCCCTGATTGTACAAAAAATACTGTTTTTAGCTTATGGACAATCATTTTATTTGATTTTAAAAATCATTTATATATATCACCGTTACTCTATAAAGACAGTTCAGTTCTAATTTTCTGAAAATTGTACTGAGACTATATGAGAAAATTAACTATCCCCTTTACGCAAATAGTATAATAAGCATGTCATACCAAGGTTGTGGATCCTCGAGAGGTGAAATCTGAGTTAGATTTTGATGAGACTTAAAATATATGTTTATATCCCACAGATCGTTGGTTCCTTTTGATATTAACACATATCAGAATGTATAATCCTGGATTATGGCCCCTGATTGTACGAAAACCCGCTTTTTATCCGGCGTCAAACTAAGTTAGGGAGGAATATTGAAATGGCGTTGATCCGTCCCGATTTTTTTTCACGACATATCTCATAAACTGCTTAAGATATCTTTCTGAAACTTTGTACACTTATCAACCTATTACAGTAGTCTTGCCTTTTGCTATTTAGGAGTCTTTGGGATTTATATTTTTTGTGTTTCCATGGAAACAAATTTGACTTGGTTTTTGGTATATAATTTTGATTCCGGAGCATATCTCATAAACCGTTACAAATATCTTTTTGAAAATTGGAAACATATCACCCATTACAGTAGTCTTGCCATTTGCTATTTTGGAATTTCTGGGATTTATATTTTTTGTGTTTCTATGGAATCAAATTTCACTTAGTTTTTGGTGTATAATTTTGTTTCTGGAGCATATCTAATAAACTTTTTAAGATATCTTCATGAAACTTTGTGCAAACATTAACCTATTATATTAGTTGTTCCTTTCGCTATTTAGGATTTTCTGGGATTTTATTTTTATACGCCTTCATTTTCATGGGACGTATATTGTTGTCAACCCTGTTCGTCCCTCTGCACAATTGTTTGTAGACAATCTTCAGGTCACAATTTTTATCCAATTTCAACAAAACTTGAAATATAGGTTTATCTCCTAAAGACCTCTGTTCCTTTTGATATTGGCATGTATGGACCGTAACTTCATGGATTATGGCCCCCGATTGTACGAAAATCATGTTTTTTAGCTTGTGGGCCCTATAGAAGGTCACAAGCTAAAAAACAAAACTTGAAATATAGGTTTATCTCCTAAACACCTTTGTTCCTTTCGATATTGGCATGTATCGGACTGTAACTTCATTGATTATGGCCCCTGATTGTACGAAAATCATGTTTTTTAGCTTGTGGGCCCTATAGAGGTCACAATTTTTATAGGCCCACATTGAATTGGTCCGTCCGTCGTCCACAACTTCTTGTGACCGCTGTAACGCCAAAAGTTATGATCCGATTGTTTTAAAATTGATATATGTTGTTCACATTGGTGAGATGAAGAAGCCTATTTAATTTCAATAATTTCTGTTTATTACGTCTAGAGTTATAGCCCTTATGTCACTTTGTTGGACGTTGTGAACGCCAAAAGTTATCATCCGATCTTTGTGAAATTTATATGCATTATTTAAATTAGTGAAACGAAGAAGCCTATTGAATTTCAGCAATTTTCGTTTATTATGTCTAGAGTTATGGCCCTTGTTTCACTTTATTGAACCTTGTGAACGCTCTAACGTCAAAAGTTATCATTCGATCTTTCTTTAATTTATATGCACTATTTAAAATAGTGAAACCATGACGCCTATTGAATTTTAACAATTTACAATAATTACTTCTAGAGTTATGGCCCTTGTTTCACTTTGTTCAACCTTGTTAATGCTCGATTGATGAAAGTTATCATCCAATATGTATGCAAATTTATATGCATCATAAAAATTTGTGAAACAGAGGTCTATTGAATTTCAGCAATTTCCGTCAATTATTTCTAGAGTTATGGCCCTTGTTTTACTTTGTGAACCCTGTAAATGTTTGAATGACAAAAGTGAAAATCCGATCTGTATGAAATTTATGTGCATTATTTAAATTAGTAAAACGAAAAAGCCTGTCAAATTTCAACAATTTCTGTAAACTACTTCCAAAGTTGAGACCCTTGTTTCAGTTTGTAAAACCTTGTGAAACCTAATCCTTGTGAAACCTCAAACGACAAAAATTATAATCTGAATTGTATGGAACTGTCTTGTAAATATGCGACAACCCTTGTCGACCGCTCGGACGATTTAGCTGCTGTGGGCGTATGTTTCGTTGCCTGGCAACCTATCTTTATCTGATTTTGTTGAAATTTGAAATGTAAGTTTATAATCCAAAGATCTTGGTTCCTTTTGATATTCGCGTAACTTCCTGAATTGTACGAAAAAACACGTTTTTTAGCCTTTGGAGGTCACAATTTTATTCCGATTTAAAAAAACGTTTGAATATATCACCGTTACACCTTAATGATGGTTGAGTTTGAATTCGTGAAAATCTGACCAAAACTGCCGGACAAAATGGGCATCCCTCGTATGCAAACAGTGTAAAAATATGGTACATCAAGGTTGTGGAGAGAGCTTACAATTTTGATTTGATTTTGATAAACTTGAAATACATGTTTATAACCCAAAGATAATGGTTCCTTTCAATATTTGTGCATATCGGATCGTAACTTCCTGAATTATAGCCCTTTTACTGTACAAAAAATCGTGTTTTTAGCTTGTGGTCCCTCTAGAGGTCACAATTATTATCCAATTTAAAAAACCGTGTGAATATATCACCTTTACACCCTAATGATGGTTGATTTCGAACAACGGACAAATTGGCAGCCCCGTGCCTATATAGTGTAAATCTGGTATATATCAAAGTTATTGACCATCTAGGGTTCGAATATGTCACTGTTACACCATATTGTTGGTTGATTAACTTCCAATTTAATGAAAATCGGACCAAAACTGCCAGACAAAATGGAATTTCTGGGATTTAATAATTTTGACATAGTTTTTGGTGTTCAATTTTGTTTCGGGGCATATCTCATAAACCATTCAAGATATCTTCATGAAACTTTGTACAAACGTCAACCTATTAAATAAGCTGTGCCTTTGGCTAATTTGTAATTTCTCAGATTTAATCATTTTTGTGTTTCCACAATTTGACTTAATTTTTACGTACAATTTTGTTTCTTGGAGCAAATTTTATAAACCATTAAAAATATGTTTTTGAAACATTGTACACACATCATCCTATTACAGTAATTGTGCCTTTTGCTAATTAGAAATTTGTCGGATTTAATAAATTTTGTGTTTCCATGGAAACAAAATTCTCTGTTGAATGATTTTTGAATTTTTACTACACATTTGAATTAGAGCATATTTAAGAAACCGTTCAAGATACCTTTATAAAACTTTTACATTCATCACCCTAGTATTTTATTTTCTGATGACCATCCTCCGTCCCAATTTCATTCCCGGAGCACATTTCATTATCCGTTCAAGAAATCTTTTTGAAACGTTGTACAAATGTCAAATTATTATAGTATTTTATTTTCTGATGAAAAAGCTAAATGTTTAACATACAGCAGCTGATTGAGGTAGGCAATGGTTGTCGTGCAAACCTAACAGGGAGTAGCGACCATGCTTTGCCGAGCTACGGTACTATGATCAGAGTATGAATCTTCTGACTAGTCCCATTCATATTCCAAGAAGTTGTTTTTCCTTATGCTTTCCAAACAAGTGCAAAGGTGCGAGACAGTGATGACTAGTCATCTTGTTTAGCTTGTTCTCTGTTCATCTCTTGCAAAATGTGGGTGTATCTGGCATGGCAACCTCTTGTTACATCTGTGATAGGACATCTGTTATAAAAAGTGGGGAGAGGATCCAAAATTGATACGGTTTTCATGTTTATAATGACATAATTACATCTTTAGAGCGTACAAATTTAACTTGAATAAATGTGTGTGCTATGACTTTTCTTTTTCAGAGGAACAGTTAGAAAAGGAAGAAAATATACGTATGAGTTTATTTGAGAGAGGTGCCATGGAGAATTATTTATCACATTCACTGATGAGAGAAAGAGAATTATTAGATAATAAAGTATCTAGCACTGCTGAAAGGTGTGTATTGTGGCCAAAATACGTATTGCAATATATGCCATATATGGCAATACTTGACAAAAAATATTGCAATATTACAATATTGCAATACTTCGATAAAATCAGAGTTTATCACAGTTTTATTTTGAATAGTCGATTGTTTTTACAACTTCGGTCTTGTCTTTGGAGATTTTGTAGCACCATAGGTCTTTTGTCTGACTACATATTTCTGTAGCCTTGTGATCGTCTAGAATTTGTCTCTAGCTGTCTTTACTTCTGCTTCACGTTGTGTATTTACTTCTTCCAGTTTCTTAAGACGTTTGTCTTACCAGGAATAATAATGCATAGTTCGCTTCTACATTTTATATAGCATATAACTGAATACAGGTATACAAGCATAGCACAAATTACAATACTATATAGCTAAAACCACTTCTCCACCCTATCCAGCCTCTCGGCTGTCTAGGAACTCAGATGTACCCTCGATCTCTGGAATCTAATGCAAGTCTGACTTACAGGGTTCCCCGGTTTCTTTTAAAGGTAAATGAATATCATGCACAATAACGCGTGATCATGACCCTGAACTTGTGTAATTAACAAAATGATTGGTTACTTTAAATCAAATGATGCAATTAGAATAATTCCACTCACAGTAATTCTGGTGGTAAATGAGTGACATATGTTTTCGATAAATAACTCTTTTTTATGTGTCAACTGTCAATTACAGACTAAGTTGATTTAGTGCACACTATATATGTGAATATGTTTGAAATTACTAACTTGCCAAAGATATTAATTAATGAAATATAAAGGCATCTTATTTCAAGAGCAAAAATTCTAGCAATATTATTACATTCGTCCCTTCCTTTAAGACTTTTTGCTCGGTATTGGGTAAAGATCCCTTGAATCCTTTACAATAACCATACCAACATCTGTAGAATTATATAACTATTCATAAATGTAGCAGAAATCTAGAAAATCAACATATATCACCTCCCCCACTTGCAAGATTAATGCTAAATGAACAGGTAGGAGACTCTTAAAAACTTCCATGTGCTAAACCCTATAATTATTCATGCAACAGGCAAATATCAATGATACTATACTATATAACAAAACTATGAAATAAAAACACAAATAATCAAAAATCAAAAGTCAAAAGTTGCATGCAAAAGTTCTCCAAAAAGTTCATCACTGTAAAATCCTATGAAAATCCACTAAGCCTAAACATAGAAAACACAAATTGTCTTTTTTAAAATCTTCAAGTGTCCTAATTGCAAAACACTATAACACATCACGTAATATTTATAAAGTTCAGGTTTCACATTAAATTATGTCTCAGGAAATGTCAATTTGGTAAACTGGTAAACCATTTCTTCTTCTTGGATGTGTATTGGTCTGTTTCAGCTACCATAGTATCAAGTTGAAACTTTCTTTTTTTCTCCTTAATATGATTGGTTTGTACAATTTTATCCGTCAATCAAACATGTCATTGCCATCAGACCAAGAACTAACTATTACTATTTTCTTTTTTTTTAAAACTTTATGTTGCTATTAGTCTAACATTATTATTAATATATTATTTCGAAAACGTATTAGCAAATCTTACTGTAATTAAAATTAAACTTTATTTAAGTATTAATAAACTTTGATGTGTCCCTTTAATTATAAATTTTCAAACTAAGTTTGACCTCTTGACCTGAACTGAGTAATGGACAATTTTAGAATTACGTTTATGTTTTATAATTTCCGTTTCTGTTTTAGAATTCCTACACTGTTATTTTATATTTCACCATCAGTAATGTGACCTTTTTGACCTAATCATTTACAATTTTGTATTTCGTTTTTTTTTTTTTATAAACCTTCCTATCAGACTGACACTAACACAAGCTGAGCTCACACCTATGACAATACCAGACTTTAATTTATCTAGGATAGAACTGTCAATCAAATATGGCCACTATATGAATGACATTCCATTTTATCCTACAGTACCTATTCCATTATTAGTATTATATAAACATTATTTAGAATCCTGTTCAAAGCAAGTGACGTGCACTTCACTCCCTCGGAACACCAGTCTATATTCTATAAACAAAACAATTAGAACATACCTAACTTTTAATAACACGTACAGTTAACTATATCCTATATATATTGTGACTTTTGCACACGTCAAATTTAACACAGTGTTAGAACCTACTGTTTATAATAATTCGACCTAATGTCAAATTACACATTCCTAACACAAATTAACGAATCACAGTAGAAAGTACGGCCAACTAGGAAACTAGAGTTAATCACTCACAAACGTCATCCTTAGATCTGCCGTCTTCCCACTGCGATCCGGAGATAACATTAGTTCCTTACTTTATTCCCTATTCCGTTTCCTTATTATTCCTTAGGTATATCAAAACAAATTTTCTTTTAAATCCTACGCCCTAGAGATCCTCACTTTAACTTAAATTTTATTACTCAAATTTACTACAGGTCATGTTAACCTGGCAATATACATACCTAACTCATGATATTATATTGTTTAATAAACCTATCAATCTCAACTTATGAATGACTCTAATTTATTCTCTATACAGTTAAATTTTAACTACTTAGTTTCTAATCAGATTTTAACTTTAAAGTAATATTATTTGGTCTTTAAACAAATTTAACACATTTAATTTACCAAACAAAATGTATTTACCCAATTTTTCGAATATCTCCACCAGATTTTTTCCACCAGAATTTTTCTGTTGCTGGATTGTACAGGTTTTCTTCTTAACGTCTTCAAATATGTATTCTTCTTCTAAAGTGACTTCTTACCCCAAAGGTCGAAACTGCGTTACGGCAACCATAGGTCTTTTGTCTGATGTGGAGAGCGGACGTTGTCAAACCAGTCGCCACATCCTACGTAGAACCCATGCATCTTTTCTTACTACATATTTCTGTAGCCTTGTGATCGTCTAGAATTTGTCTCAAGCTGTCTTTACTTCTGCTTCACGTTGTGTATTTACTTCTTCCAGTTTCTTAAGACGTTTGTCTTACCAGGAATAATAATGCATAGTTCGCTTCTACATTTTATATAGCATATAACTGAATACAGGTATACAAGCATAGCACAAATTACAATACTATATAGCTAAAACCACTTCTCCACCCTATCCAGCCTCTCGGCTGTCTGGGAACTCAGATGTACCCTCGATCTCTGGAATCTAATGCAAGTCTGACTTACAGGGTTCCCCGGTTTCTTTTAAAGGTAAATGAATATCATGCACAATAACGCGTGATCATGACCCTGAACTTGTGTAATTAACAAAATGATTGGTTACTTTAAATCAAATGATGCAATTAGAATAATTCCACTCACAGTAATTCTGGTGGTAAATGAGTGACATATGTTTTCGATAAATAACTATTTTTTATATGTCAACTCTCAATTACAGACTAAGTTGATTTAGTGCACACTATATATGTGAATATGTTTGAAATTACTAACTTGCCAAAGATATTAATTAATGAAATATAAAGGCATCTCATTTCAAGAGCAAAAATTCTAGCAATATTATTACAATTTATTGTTTACTGCAAAGCCTAAATAATCTGACTGTGAATACACATTTCAGTTTATTTGAATGAATTCTGATGCAAAGGCATACAGCATATAGCATGCCAAAGTGTTGGAGATCGTTCCGAAAGTAACTATTAGTAACGTTTTTGCAAAACAAAACTTTTACAGGGTTTAATGGACTCGAATTCCAATAAAAACATTATTGTCTTACATCACAATAACTTATTATTCGTCAGAAATATTTTATTCTTATTGTCCCCCGCCTGTCTGTCTGTGACACTTTTTGGGGCGCAATAACTCTCCTTCTAATTGAGGTAGAACGTTCAAACTTGGTGTAGGTGTTTATTAGGTCAATGCCTTGATGGAGTTTGAAGATGAGCATTTTCTGCTTAGAGTAAGCAGAGATAAGCAATTTGAATGGTTGATGCTTTGGGTCACGATAACATTAGAGTATAGTTTTATTACATCAATACCTTGACTAAGTTCGATAATGAGCATTTTCTGCAATTTATTGGATAAAGACTTTGGAACACAATAACTCTCCTTCTAATTGAGGTAGAATGTTCAAACTTGGTGTAGGCGTTCATTAGGTGAGTGCCTTGATGGAGTTTGATGATAAACATTGTCTGCTTACGGTAAGCAGAGATAAGCAATCTGTTTGGTTGATGCTTTGGGGCACGATAACTTTGGTTTTAATTAAGTGAGAGTGATGAAACTCTGCATATAGATTCCTTATATCATTACCGTGACTCAGTTCGAGGAGGATAATTTTCTGCATAGGCTAATAGACCGGAAGCTCAGCGCGGGGAGGTGTCCATCAAATGGGCACAAAACCAGACCCAACTTTTCTAGAGTAAAATTTTGCGTAGAATACGATGCCGAGTGGTAATCAGTCCGCCGTTGGGACGTTTTCGAGATATTCGGGTTCAAAGGTCAAATGAGTTCATTTGCACTGAAAGTGAAATGAAATGAAATGGGGTTTAACGTCCTACTGTTCTGCTCCTAACCTGGGCTAATGAAGACGGGCATACGCCATACAGTGTGCTATGAGGGAAATTTTGCCCGGACAGCGGCACTACGGCCTACTCTTATATCGAATTCCAACTGCCAAGGGATCTTTTACGTGCACGCCAATGTGTACACGGGACCTTGGTTTTTCATCCCATCCGAACGACTAGACAGCTTTCCTTGTCAGGCCCTCCGTCCTGCATCACTGACAAGGGAGAACCACGCCGGAATGCACTGAAAGTGAATGCGCAGTCATTCTTGTATTATGAAAAGAAGCTGAATAATAATTAGACTTTCAATAAAAATGTAAACTTGGTAAATTCACCTTTAGTCTTAGTGACCCTGGGGGTCAAAAGGTGAAATTTACTGTTTTTGCACTAGGAAGATTTAAAAACTAAAGCGAAACCTGTTCTAATTAAAAATAGAAACATTTAAAATTTATCTCTAGGGTCTTAGCACCGAACTCTTACTTTGTAACGTCGAAAATGATCTGGCATAACAGAACCAATACACTTTGAAAACTGTTTCAAAAATACGTAAAAACTGTCAAATCGAAATCTCTCCGATTTATTTTCACAGCGATTATTGTACATAAAGATACTAGTTAATCTGTGACAAGAAAACGAGATTAAAAGTTTGCAATTTCGCCCAAACATGGACGCAGATAAAATCGACGGATGCATTGTACATAGTAGTTCCCAGGATGTTTATGCCGTATTGGTGAATGTTAGCGGGGAAAATTTTGGCAGGCTTTGTGACGCGGCCTGCAGGCTGGAGTCCAGCCATGAAACTATTCAATTGTTTTTTTCAGACAACTAGTATCATTGTGTATAGCATTCGTTGTAAAATTAATTCGGGGAGATTTTGATTTAACAGTTTTTACGTATTTTTGAAACAGGTTCTGAAGCGTTTTGGTTCTGTTATGCAAGATCATTTTTGACGTTCCAAAGTAAAAGTTCAGTGCTAAGACCACCTAAAGATAGATTTTAAATGACCCTATTATTAATTAGAACAAGTTTCGCTTTAGTTTTTATATTTTACGCTCACATTTATTATTTTAAATCTTCCTAGTGCTAAAACGGAAAATGTGACCTTTTGACCTCTGTGGTCACAAAGAACAAAGGTAAATTTAGCAAGTTTACATTTTTATTGAAAGTGTGATTACTTTCGATCATTTTCAGCTTATATTCATAATACAAAAAAGACTGCGCATTCACTTTCAGTGCAAATGAACCCATTTGACCTTTGACCCCAAATATCTCGACCCCAACGACGGACTGATTACCACTCGGCATCATATTCTACGCAAAATTTTACTCTAGAAAAGCTGGGTCTGGTTTTGTGCCCATTTGGTGGACACCCCCCCGCGCTGAGCCTCCAGACTATAAGGAGCAACAAGCAGTTTGATTGGTCAACCTTTTAATTGAGGTAGAATGTTTAAACTCGATGCAGATGTTCATTAGGTGAATGTCTTATGCTCTGTGATAAACATTTCGACCTAAATCTAAGCAATTTCATTGGTCAATGCTTTGGGATAAGATAACTTTGATTCTATCTGATAGAGAGTGATGAAACTTAATAGTGAATAGTTGATAAGCAGTTTGATTGCTTGATAATTTTGAAAAAATAAATGTGCTATTAATTAATATGTGTCCTCTATTTATTTTGGGATTTTGACGGGGGACATCAGCCTCACTGTCGGCTTGTTTACTTTTGTTCTGTTTTTCTTGGGTCACTTTGTAAAACCATACACCACAATTTAGTAGCATAGATTGTCTTACATTTAGACAATATTTGTTTAATTATTATTTCATAAGTCAAAAGTAATTAAGATTGACTGGTCCAAATATAAAAAGAAATAACACTCCTGTGTTTTAGAAAGTATACTGAGTGCCATGGAAAACGCATCACTTAGTTTTTCGTATAACAAAATGATCCTGTAAACATATCTTATTTATTTTGCTTCTTATTGTGAACAATATTCAAATGGGAACACATCAATAACAACACATTTCTACACTTATGGATGTTTAATCTGTAATCAACGGTACAAAGTCAAAGGGGTTAAAACCAAAAGTATGACACAGACGTTAGTAGCGCGCGTGTGTCCTCCACGGGCTCTTACGCACGCTGTGCAGCGACGTTGCATGGAATTTACCAATGTTTGAAAAAAGCCTGGAGGCCTGGGGCAAATTGTTCCATTCTTGGACAAGAGCAGCTTCTAAAGCAGCAATGGTGTGCATCTGTGGTCTCAGATACAGACGGCGTCCAATCTCATCCCAAACATGTTCTATCGGTGCCATGTCCGGAGACATGGCTGGCCAGTCCAAGACATTGATGTTGTTAGCAGCCAGGTAGTCCATACATAAACGGGCGGTATGCGGACGTGCATTATCCTGTTGGAAGTGCTGAAGTTGTGGGTGCGCTCGAAACATCGGAACAACAATTGGTTGCAAGACATCATCACGGTAGGCTACAGCATTAACGCGACCCCTGCAAATGTGTAGGGCGGTCTGATGATGAAATGTGAAGCCTCCCCATACCATTACACTTCCCCCACCCCATCGATTTGTTCCCCAAGACGTCTCCACACACGTTGACGGCCATCAGCGTGATAAAGATGAAAACGACTCTCATCACTGAAGAGCACACTTTGCCAGTCTACTCTTCTCCATGTCTGGTGTCCTTGAGCCCATATCAAACGCCGCTGACAGTGATGATCTCTGAGGATAGCTCCAACATAAGGTCGTCGTGCACGGAGTCCTACTTCTCTTAGTTGACGTCTTACGGTGTTGGCACTTACTGGTCCTTGTCTTCCGACGACTGCTGCACCTGTTCAAGTCGCTGGGCGGAATCTGTCACGCGGATGAGTGACCCAGATGTAGCGGTCTTGAGCCTGGGTTGTAACGCGTTGTGGACCAGGACGTTGACGGTCACGTGTTGATCCAGTAACTCGAACATGTTCCACCAACCTTACAATAGTGGACTGATGACAATTGAAGTGTCTGGCAATAGCACGTGTAGACATGCCAGCCCTGGACATTCCCATGGCTTCATTCCGTTGATTTTCAGTAAGTCTCGGCATCTCTAGCTCGATTCCTTCACACGTCCAACAACAAATTACGACAGATTGAAGTTTCACAGTTCATGTACTGCACATTAAGTTGAAAACATGCTTTTAAAGGGCTCACACACAATGCTGCACGTGAATATTGGGGTTTTCATGTGCATCTCGTGCAATTTTTTTTTTGTGCACACGTGCCGATATTTTTTGCGTTTGGGAGCATTGTGTGAAACAATAGTTCATAGTATTGCATAATATTATACATACAAAACCACCTAGTAATAAAATATTTGGGAAAAAAAAGTGATTCGTTTTCCTTGGTGTCAGTATATTTATAAACAATCTAGCTAATAATTATGACAACCGTCAAATGCCCATCGAATATGAAACAAAAGTAGAAATATATTGATTCGGCAAATATGTATAGATACAGTGTATTGTGGACTATCGTATTGCTATATACAGTCTTAATTATATCCCAACAAAGTAGTCAGTCTGATTATACAAAGTAGTCAGTCTGATTATAACAATAATAATAACAAAAACTTTATTTAATGAAAATTTACATCTTTATTTCATTTTTATGTGCTTACATGTAACGTGCATGCATACTGTCATCGCCTATGTCTTACAGTTCTTGTCCGATTTTGTTCAGAAAAATGTGATTATATAGTACTTGAATGACTTAGCTTCTGTGGGTGTATGCTTGCTGCCAGTAGCAACCTATCTTTAATTATAAAGCTTAGAACAGACATCAATTTTATAGATTTTTAAAATTTTGCTCTGTGGGATTTGTTTACAATGATTTTAGATTTAGCTGAGCACTGTCTTTGTTGTATTTGAATTAAATATAATTGCATATAAATGTGTAAAACTCAAATTGAACTAAGAAATGTTTTATGGTCCTGTTCATAGGCCATACTCTTATGATTTATATAATATTATGGAAATTAAGTGGTCTCCTTGACTTAAAAAGATCAAAAATTGTTCTTCATATTCATAGTCAAAGTATCACCTAAAATACTCTTTTCAAATTGTTATTATTTTTTTTGTGATAAATGTGATACATAAACTTATGTGGGTCTTTTCTCATTATTGTAGATTAGAAATGGTGATTGATGAACTTGCTCAAATTAAAGATAGTGTATCAGTCCATGATTCTTCTACTGATGTTACAGATGATAGTGATAAACTCATGCCAATAGATGATAGTGATAAACTTATAACTCAACATGCAAGGTAATAAATATAATAACTAAATTAATCACTATATTATCCCACACCAAACAAAGTTGGGAGGGGGGGGGGGATATTGAAATGGGCTTTATGTGTACTTCTGTTCCATTTTGCTTCCCAAACATATTTTGTAATCTGTTCTAAATATCTTTTTGAAACTTTGTACACATATAAACCTATTATATATGAGTTGTCCCTTTGTTACTCAAATTTGATAATTATTTGTGTTTTCATGAAAACAAATTTGACTTAGTTTATTCCAGAGCATGTATCCTAAAGTGTTCAAGATAACATTATCAAACTTTATACACACATCAACCCATTAGTTGTGGCTTTTGCTAATTGAAAATTCTCAGTTGACTTATTTTGTGTGTTTCTGGAAACACACTTGACTTAGGTTGTAGTATTCAAAATATCTTTATGAAACTTCATGTGAAATTTTATTTTCCAACCTGCTTCTAAAACTGAGGATATAACTTTTCAGCCCTCTGATATCTTGCTACCCTAACTATAATAGTATAATTTAAAAAAAACAAAACAGGTTGAGGTAGTTCAATTTATGTTCACTATAACAAGGTAGCATAATTAAGATTCTCCCCCCCCCATCCTTTTATACTCCCACATGGAAATGTTGTATATTGCCATCACCTCCGTTCGTGGTCCACAATTGCTTGTTAGCACTCTACAAACTACGTTTATTATCTGATCATTTTAAAATATATATATATATATATATATATATATATGTTAACAGTGAGACGAAGAAGCCTATTCAATTTCAATAATTTCTGTTAATTACATCTAGAGTTATGGTGCTTCTTTCACTTTGTAGAACCTTGTGAATGTTCTAACAACTCAAGTTATCGTTTGATCTGTATTAAATTTACATGCATTATTTAAATTAGTAAAACAAAGAATCCTATTGAATTTCAGCACTTTTCGTTTATAATTTCTAGTCTTATGGCCCTTGTTGAACCTTGTTGACATAAGTTATCATCCACTCTGTATGAAATTTATATGCATTATTTAGAACAGTAAAGAAAAGACGCCTATTGAATTTCAGCAATTTCCTTTAAATACTTATAGTGTTATGGATTTTTTTGGACTTTGTTGAACCCCTTGTATGAAATTGATTTCAGTGTTTTGTAAAAGCCCCTTGTTGACTGCTCGGACGATTTAGCTGCTGTGGGCATATGTTTCGTTGCCTGGCAGCTTATCTTTTTTAAATCCACCAAGATACACATTAATTTTCAATAAATAAACTGTTTTGAACATATTGGAACCATATTAGATTATTTTGTAGCATACATTATTGTTAGTACTGTAATATATTATTATTACATCTATTACAGTAAACTTCGCATAAGTGGAATCTAAGTGGACTGACCAATTTTATCAGAGTTAAGCGAAGATCCGAGTTAGCCGAAGACCGAAATTCAATCTTAGCTCGATTAGAAATAAACTGAAAGAGCCAGTTAATAATTGATGCAAAGGCACATTTCAAGCTTTTGTTCGTATGTGCGAGTAGATAAATTCCGTTTTGGTGTGAGTCGATAAATTCCGTTTTGTCGCCATCTTTGAAAAATGTCCTAAATTTTCTCGGAAAGTGTCTCGTACAGCAGACAGTGAGTTTCCAATTTTTCTGGGAATATTCTATTATTGTGTTGCGTCAAATAGTCTGATTTAAGTCAAAATGATAGGGGAAAGTATTTTGGGACTCTGTGCATGGAATAGGCCTACCTAACCGGGTTTTAGACCATCTACTAAGAAAATATATAATTAAAGGGTAGTGAGCAAGAGAGTAAAAGGTTATATTTTGTATTTCAGATCACGGGTATCAGATGAAGTGACTTATTTACGTCATTGTTTAGATGATTTGACAGATCAGATGGGTCGTAATACGGCTAAACTTAACCAAATGATGCACTTAATGGAAGATGTAATTAGAAAACCCAAATCACACCCTAAAACAATGGATTTAGAAATACAAGATGCCACCACAGCTTAGAAATATTTTATTTTATGTACGCAGTTTTGTGATATATATGATCTTTTTACCTCAAGATGTGAATTTTATTATTTGTAATTAGTGCTAAATTGTGATAGTGTTAATCAAATGTATATAGGCTTGATTTTTTGTTGGAAGCATTTATAATCAAAATTTAAAATCTAGTATGCACATAGACTTGAAAATATTGCAAATAATTCATCTGTCCATCCGTGTGTTTACAATTCTTGTTAACAAGCAAACCATTAAACATTTTAAAACGGGTGTTGTTCTACATCATACAGATAGGCCCTATTAATATTGTATGTATATTTTAGACTATTCAACAGTTTGTATAAACACAAATTATCCTTGTCAAACCCCACCCCTAAAATGTATGTTGTGTTAGCATCCAACACTTGTTCTATGATAAATAATGAATGTTGTAAAAGTTATTCTCTGTGTAAATCATCTTTACCCAAGGCTGGATAAACCAATTTTTATTTGCTAAATATTTGTGATCCTTATATATAATCTTTCATAACATTTATTAAAGGTACATTATGTAAGATTTAGATAGAGAGCTGACTGTTTCATTCAAATTATTTTATTCTGAAGTTTTGACAAGATGTGGCATAGATTGTACTTGTTATTTGAGATTTAGCCTTACTTCACTATTTTTAAATTAAATGATTAAATAGCAACCATGTTTTAATTCGTTTAAATCTCCTTTAAAAAACAATTCTTGCCATTATGTTTAAAAATTGAAATATTTTATTTTATATAATCATAAAAAAATTGAAATGTATTGTTTTATGTGATAATTTAAAATGTTCTACGAAAGTGAAAACATAATTATTTCTACCTCTGTTGCTTATAGGTTGTCAAATCACTGTTATACAATCATGGACATCATTCTAGCACTTGAAAAAAACATTCACACAAAAGTTTGAAGTATTCTCTATTTGCCTGTGGTACTTTGAAATTGTATAATTTCTTTTTACTGGAATACAAAGTCTACATAATGGTCATGGGGAAATCCACCAGGGTTGTCTCGATTGTCAAGGTATGTGGTCAGACATACATGGATAATGATGTCTTGTTGACTGAGACAACCTGCACACGCATATTGATCTAATAATAACACCGCTAGATGGAATCGGCAAACCCCAATGTTGATGTCTCAATTTGAAAAGGACATATTTGCCAATATGTCAACTGAAAATAGTGAATTGTAGGATTAATAGGATTATTGTTTAACATGGTTGGACTGTTTATTGATTCCATGACATTTAAGGCTTTATTTTAAAACATATGATTTTGAAAAATGCAACTATCGCTTTAATATAATCATACGAAATTGAAATAGATTGTTTAATATAAGCATAATCATAGAATAAGTGGCAAAAGTTGTGTCTTGATCATTTGAAAATACTAATGTTTAGAACAGACATATGTAGTAATTACTATTATTCAATGCAAATAAAAGTTTTATACTGTAGGCATTTAGGTCCTATCTATTAGAATTCTCAATACTTTTTTATTCTATTTACTAAAATGTAACCTTTTCTATCAATATAATATTTATTCACAGAATGATGGTTTATATTTAAGATAGACTTTGCATCTTTGTGTCAACTTTCAAATTATGGAAAATAATTGAATATTAGAAGATAATTGGTCTAGTCATAAAGTTGAAATCCGTCCATAATTTACACATCTGTTATACTATATTTTTATATTCATATATATATGCAGATGCATAATTTTTAAGACCCTGTGTGTAATTTTAATACTGTCGTTTTTAAAACATTTATATTCTGTATGTCTTAATATACGGGTCTTCTAAATCAATAAATGTCTTAAACATGTACTGTTAAATATAAAGTAGTAAATATTTATTTTAGAACCAGAGTTTAATGTTTTATAAATTTGACCACAGCAGTGACTTATAGATTAATCAAACATACATTTAGTAGGTGTGTTTTAGAATGGTTCAAATCTCTCCTCCGTGGTAGAACTCTGCTAGTGGTCATAAACGTCAGAAAAGATAGGAAGGTGAATGATCATGAAGTTATGGTGTCTCACAAGGATATGTATTTGGTCTTCTTTACAACACCAGGGTAAAACATCAGATCATTATTCTGCTAGACTATTATTAACAACCGCATATTATTACAAGACCACAGCTGTAGACGACAGAAGCAGTTAAGAAATCTTGGTCAATTCATGGCACACATACGACCATGTGTCATTAGAGACATGTCACAATATATTATGGGGCTGTCACACATTGACGTATACACATTGCCAACGTATGAGAAATTTAGCAAACACGATGGTATACGTTATGGGTACGTTTTTACAAGTTACGAGCTCGCTGAAATACGATGGTATAAGTTGTTGTAGCCAAACGCGGTCCAGAATTTTGTACATGCATAAGCTTTTCTGCGTATGCCGACGTATTGCTTACACGTAAGGCGTGCGTTAGAAGTACGCGACAGGTAAGTTATGCGCGCGTTCAGGCACGTTACATGTAAGTTACTCATAAGTTGACATACATCGGCTACCAGCAGGGCAATTATTGAGCACAGTACGCGTAACTTATTTCTAACCTATAGGCAACGTACTTCTGACGTCCTTAGAACTTACTGAACGTGTTTGAAACGTGTGTAGAGATGAACATGTGCAGAAGTCTACAATCATGGTCATGGCGGACCCTGAGAGGCTGCGACAAGAGTACCAAATAGCCGTTATACGACATCAAAATGACCTGATTGACTTGGCACTATACAAGTTGCGAGCCAATAGGAGAAATAACTTTTATGTCCCAGAGCATGGGGTTCTCCTGCACGAAATCAAACATGGACTTCTCCTCAGCATCTAAGGTATATTGAGTCTTCTTGGGGCTTGAGAGGCGGTCGAGGCCTGCTTGTCGTTAAGTGCTTGAGAGGACGTCAAGGCCTCAGATGCCGCCACAGATACTACTGAGGATGCATTGGATCTTGCACGAGGGCGATATTGGCTATCATCGTCAGATGAAGATGGGGACGAGGGTGAGCGTGGAGTAAGGATGAAGATTGCTTAGGTCGTCCCCTCCCTGCAACTTTCCTTGATTTATTTGGAGGCTTGTTAATCGATGTAGCATCTTTTCTTACTACATATTTCTGTAGCCTTGTGATCGTCTAGAATTTGTCTCTAGCTGTCTTTACTTCTGCTTCACGTTGTGTATTTACTTCTTACAGTTTCTTAAGAAGTTTGTCTTACCAATTCGCTTCTACATTTTATATAGCATAGCCGAATAAATATGGATACAAGCATAATAGATAACAATACTAGCTAAAACCATTTGTCAACTCTAGCCAGCCTCGCGGCTGTCTAAGAACTCAGATGGAACCTCTGGAATCTAATGGAAGTCTAACTTAAAAGTTTACTATAGATATCTTATATAGCACTGACGTATACCATCCACATGAAGCCTGTTCATGGCCCTGAACCTGTGCAATTAACGATATGATTGGTTACTTTAAGCCAAGTGATGCAATTAGAATAATTCCACTCACAAGTTATCTGGTGGTAAATTATTGACACCTGTTTTGGCTAAATAGCCCTTTTTTATATAACAATATGTCAATTACAGACTAAGTTGATTTAGTATAATTCTACATATGTGGGAATCTACCAACTTGCCAAAGATATTAATTAATGAAATATACCTCCACCATTAATTTCAAGAACAAAAATTCTAGCAATATTATTACATCGATCGACGTCCACTTCTATAATGACTTGTGGTTCTAGAGAGCCCCCGTTTTTATATCTGACGCCACGTTGTCGTCGAAGTACGCTGCAACACGCTATGCATAAGTTAGTCATAAGTTGCACTAATTGTGCATGAGTTCCGCATAAGTCAAGAACGCTAAGAATTCGCTGGGCACACGCTGTAATATGCTTTTATAAGTTATGTTTACGTTGGGGATATGTTATAAATAAGTTACTCATACGTTAAACATAGGTTATATATTCGTTCAGAGCGTTAGAAGTACGTTATATATGCGTTCAAAAAGAATGTCCTCTTGATTTTTAAATTCAGCTTCAGCGTATGCCAGCATGTTGGATAATTATTTCATACGTCGGAATAAGTTGTCTAAAACGTTATAGAGTGACAGGCCCATTAGGTGACAAGCGATGGATTCTGCAATAAATCTCCCTCCTCTGGCTCATAATTGTGGAGCTCGGCGCTATTGGTTGACTGATTTCACTGCACATAACAGCAACCCTTCAAATTATTAGGCTTGATTTTGATAGACCTGGTAATAAGTGTATGAACAACAAATATTATTAACTTTTTTCCTCCGACAAATTAAATTCTAAAACATTTTTTTTATGTATTAGTAAAATAAACAAAGACGTTTGAAGTATTTGGTGTAAATGGGTATTAAAATGAGTAAAAGTCGCCATTCTGATCGAATCAGTAACGTCTTATGTAAATATTGCACGCGCCATTGCACCAATAATTGACTCCACGTGATATGATGTCATGTGTTGAAGGCAGTCATCTTTTACAGTGATATTACAAGACTTTGCTACTGTGGCTGGTGCAAGACGGAAGACATCAGTTATAGTGGAACGATTTCTATCAGGTATCCCCCGTCTCACATAACAACTTTTGGTCTTCGAAGGAATTATTAGTGAGCAGAAATTCGCCCGTGTATCTGTTATCACTCGTCAATTCAGTCAGTTATATAGAAGGATAACTTGTGTTTTCCTTTTGCGTTCGTCACTTCCGTTCATAAAGCATCTATCGTAGCAATGATCTCTGTGTTAAAATAATATTTGGAACGTGTTTAACCAGTTCTATCACATAATAATATGTGCTAATGAATGACACCAATATTGTCCTTTAATAGTAAGTGCAGGGGGACTGCACCACACATAATTTACACAAATATACGGACAAGACACAATACGCAGAAATCACAAACAAACGAATAATTCAAATTAAGCTAGCCGTAAGCTTCCACTCACTCAAATTTGAAAACAATCAGGAATATAACCCAGAGAAACCATTGTGTAATGCCAGCATGAGTCATGATCTGCTATATGTTACAAGAAATATTAATGTAAGCATATTGAAGTAAAAATTAACTATACAAGTAATCACATCGGTGAAATGCATTAAAAACGGGTAGTCTAAAACTAAATGTTCTAAGTCAACTGAGAAACGTTTCAGTATTCAATAGAATCGAGGCATACCGTTGCATGCAGTTAGGGCACATGTTCCACTCATCACACGCCTTTAAACAAATATAAACGGTCTGTAAGAATATGAAAACAGTCAGAAGGAGTTGCACCACACAATATGCTGTGACTGGCAAGTAAACTTCAACCTTGAAAAATCTAAAGTAATGATATTTAACAATAAAATAAATCGAAAATGCCGGTAATAATATTTAACATTAAAATAAATCAAAAGTAATAATATTTAATACAAGCCGTTGTAATGCAAGATACGCCCACATTTTACAAGAGATGGGCAGAGAACAAGCTAAAAAAGCGATTTTTCGTACAATATTTGAACGGTTTTTAAACCAAATAAAAATTGTAATCATTGGGGTCCACACGCTGAAAACGTGACTTTTCGTACAATCAGAGGACATAATCCAGGAAGTTATGGGCCGATATGCGCCAATGTCTAAAGGAACCAAGATCTTTGGGGTATAGACATATGTTTTGAGTTTCATCAAAGTCGGATACAAATTGTGACCTCCAGAGGATTCACAACTTTGCATACTTTTACACTATTTGCGTTCAGGGGAATGGCCATTTTGTCGGACTGTTTTTGTCTGATTTTCACGAAATTGGAACTCCACCGTCATTATGGTTTAACGGTTTTTAAAATCAAATAAAAATTGTGACCCCCTAGATGTTCCACAAGCCATAAACGCGATTTTTCGTACAATCAGGGACAATAAATCCAGAAAGTTGCAGTCCGATATGCGATAAAATCGAAAGGAACCGAGATCTGTTATAAACATACATTTCAAGTTTCATCAAAAAGCGGTTACCATGCAAGATACGCCCAAATTTTGCAAGAGATGGACAGAAAACAAGTTCAAAAAGTGATTTTTCGTGCAATCTGGGGCCATAATCCAGGATGTTATGGTCCGGCATCCGACAATATCAAAAGGAACCAAGATCTTAGGCATATAAAAATATATTTTAAATTTCAACAAAATCACAGAGTCCACAAGCTAAACAATGAAGTTACGGTCCAATATGCGCGAATATCGTAAGGAATCGAGATTTTTGGGATATAAACATATATTTTTAAAATTGTGACCTCTAGAGGGTCCACACCCTTGGCATTATATACTTTTCCACTATTTGCGTACCGGCATCGGCCATTTTGTCGGACAGTTTTGGTCTGATTTTCACGATATTTGAACTCAAACGTCATTAGGGTGTAACGGTGATATATTTGAAGGGTTTTTAAAATCGGATAAAAAATTGTCACCTCTAGAAAGACCACAAGCTAAAAATGTGATTTTTCGTACAATCAGGGGCCATAATCGAGAAAGATATGCCGGAATATCGAAAGTAACTTAGATATTTGAGATATAAATCTATATTTAAAGTTTCATACACTCAAAGCCATTAAAAACGCAATGCCTAATTCGTGAACTATTTCTGGTAAACGTTTTCTTGGGCTTTCCTATCTTATGGCACAAAGGTGAAAATTGTGACGGGTCTCTTTTTGTGGAGTTCTGGGTTTCAACCCAATATCAGTTCTCGGTAATGAACTTTGTTCGTGCAGTCCCATGTCACACGTTTTGCACGTGCATTCCCTGCACTCTGGCCCTTTAAATACAGATCAAAATTTCAACATTCATAACTTCGGAAAAATGCCACGCCTTACACAAGAAAACAGGAACAATGCTATTGGCACGCTGGATCAGGGGGCTTCACAGGTAGCCATCGCCAGACACTTTAATGTTCAGCCACCGACCATTGCTCGCCTCAGACAACGCTTCCATGCCACTAGAAGAGTTGCCGATCGACCCCGACCTGGAGCGCCACCTGTAACAACCGCTGCTCAAGATCGTCACATCCGACTACAGCATCTGCGCAACAGGTTCCAGTCAGCTATTGGACGTCGAAATGAACGTTTTGTTCGTAACTGCTTGCTGGAAAGTGATCGTTTCGAGGAGGTGGCGTCATGGTCTGGGCCGCTATCAACGTCAACTTCCGGTCCCAATTGGTGGTGCTCCAAGGCAATCTCAAGGCTCAACAGTATGTTGACCCCATCTTTCGTCCGGCGTTGCTTTCATTGTTGACTCAACATTGCGTCCACCAACAGATGGTTTTCCAGCATGACAACGTCCGACCCCACACTGCCAGGTTGACAAGAGACTTTCTGAACAATCATCATGTCCGTGTTATGGATTGGACCGATATGTCTCCCAACATGAACCCGATCGAACACCTTTGGGATGAACTTGGACGACGGGTTCGAACTCAAGCCGTGCCACCACGAACTGTTGCAGAGTTGGCACAGGCTCCCCAAAATGATTAGCAAACAATCCCACAGCGTGTAGTGAGACACCTGTGCCAGTCCATGCCAAGACGACTTCAGGCATGTGTAAGAGCTCAGGGTGGACATAGCCAATATTGACTTCAGCTGACCCCTGCTGTGTTTCATGGTTCTCTGACGTTTCGGTTTTGTGCATTTGTAGTGAATTCTTTCCTGAAATTATCCACAGATGCTTTTTATCTCGATTTTGTCAATTGTTATGACATTTGTTAAAAGTTGTTGCAGTAAATAAACTTTGAATTTGACATTGCGTTTTTAATGGCTTTGAGTGTATTATGATTGTTATTTATTTTTGTCAACCTTAGAGAAGTGGCCATAACACTGCAATCTAGAAGGGAGGGTTCTCCCTGTGAGAAAATTTCGAAAATTTGAGTCAATATCCTGGCTTTTGAGGTCATTGCTGGGAGCAAATTATTGTGAACGAGAGCATCAGAAATGGGAGTCAGTGGGACAGAATCTTGAGATCTGCCTGTCAATTCCGCCTGCTTTGTGAGAGTTAAAAGAAAATTTGTACAGCCTGTCGCCCTACGCCAGTGGTTCTCAACCTTTTTTTGACAACGGCACACCTTGGAATACATGAAAAAATAGCGGCACACCTGGCTAAATTTATATGAAAAATATCTAAATTTTGCAAAACATGATAAGTCAGACGGCATAGAACCATAGATAGCGACTGGTCATAGACACATAGAATGACTAAAACTAAATGAAGTTATGAACTTATCAGTAGACACCAATAAATATTCAATTGGAATCACGTGTTTTTTCCAATTTTCTTCGTGTTCCGTTCCAAATTTCGCGGCACACCCAGGAAGATCTCGCGGCACACTTATGTGCCGCAGCACACTTGTTGAGAATCACTGCCCTACGCACTAGTGGTGCTATAGCTAACTTGTTCATTATAAAGGTGAATATGACAGGGATGAGATAGTTTAATTTTTTGGGGACTGGACCTAAATTTCCTGGCATTTGAGTTCATTGAGAGGATAAAAAATCAGACATAATCTCGAGGCCCGAGTCTGTCGCCCCACGGCCCACTAGTGGGCGATTCACTTTAACCGTGAATATGACGATGAGAGAGCATAAGACCACAGATCAGGAGTGGAAGAATGATGATAATAATATTATCGAGCGCCGTTAAAGGCGCGAACAAATTTCAGTAACTGAGCCTTGGGCGCCGTAAGCCGGCCCCCTAAATCCGCACCTGATCATTGGATTTTTTTTATTAGAGAACAGGTATTTAATTAATTTATCGTTATGATTTTTATACGCCCACATTTTCATGTGGACACATTATGCCGTTGCCCATGTCCGTTCACACTAGTTTGTGGACGCTCTTAAATGGTGCAAAATTGTCCAAAATATAAAACCCACTCCCCAGAACCCTACGGTCGTTCGCTGCAACTCATCGCCTTCAAGAAAAGCGCTATACCAATACAATTAACATCCACCCCTTCTCTCCCCATCGTAGTCGTACGCCCGGGCCCTGTCAGTTGAATAGTCGTATAAAGAGTAGATTTCTCTGCGGGTATTGATTAAACATCAAGGTAGATTTCTGTCTTGTATGGTAGCAACTGATAACATCAAGGTAGAAAATATTGCAGTGGGAGGCGATGACATTATGTTGATCTCAATACTCATTTCCTTCCTCGTGGTCAATATAAAATTCAAATTATAACTGTTAATCAACAATTTATTTTTAATAACGAAACAGTGACCAGGGCGTCATCTGTTCGTATATTTATTAATCAGGGCCCCGTTTCACATAGCACACAATAGTCCTGAAATACTTGCTGTATTGAACATTGTACTTTTTTGCACAGAGCGGGAGAACGAAGACGGGCATCAATGATCAATGAGGGAAATTTCAACCAGCCCCGTAACAATGGTTAATATGCACTGGAGGTCATTTTACATAAACTAATAAAATGAAAATAAATAAAATCTCACAAAACAATGAACTTTGTTTTCTCGGTTTTATACATATTCACATTGTTTGGGAACAGCTTAGTAAGGATTTTTGTTATCATCAATTGGGCTATATATACAGCATATTCTCTCTAAATAGCTTCACGCGTCACTGCTCTGTTGACGATTTACACAGGCCTTAATGCATTGTTGTGGAACATTTTCTGTTATAAGCTTCAGGATATAAATGTTATAGTCATATTAAGAAATATATACATTATGTTATGAATAGGAGTAGGACGTTGATATTTGTGTCACGTGATTCAATAGCTCTCATGTCATTTCAGTGGTGAGTGGTCGACTGAGTTGTGCACGCGAGAATTTTTGTTGACATTGAATTATGAAAGAAGTAGTAGTACTTAAATTAGATCTATGAGTGATTAAGTAGTGATAACTTTTATAAGGCATACACACTGCCATATGTAGATGTATAAGACATACAACAAGGCTTCTATAATTAAAAGCAAATAACGTTCCGATCGATCAAAGTGAATTCATCATGTTTACCAGATCTACTATCAGTCTTTGTTGCCAATAGTTGCAGTAGACCGTGGAGATTTGTTGAACACTTTATTGGATTTTTACCTGAGAAGGGTGTGGCCAAAACAGGTGAGTATTTATCGTGTGTAAATGTGCATAAACACCTCATATACACGTAAAAAACATTCAGTAATGTTGTATTATCAACAGCAAATGATACGATAGGCTGTAAGTAAAAAATAATGTTTAAGTTAGTTGTTTACTAAAATAGGATATAGGCTTCACTATTTTCTCTATGGAGACACTGTGTTGGACGTGTACATATGTAACTGGGTCGATTAAACCATCCACAATGAGTTTGGTCACGTTAAGTAGTCGATTTTGAAGCACACTTGTCGCTTATACAAACAGTATGCGCATCATGAACCGAATCTTTGGGGAAATAAATATGAAAATAACCATGTCCATAGCTCCCTTATTACCACCATGTTTTGGATTAAGACACCTGATACCGGCTTATCGTTTTGGTTTTTTGTTTGTTTTTTTTTGTTTTTTATTAACTTACAAAATTGCACTTTTATATAAGGTTTCCAAATTTCAGTAGTATCCTAAATAACATCGTCTCAAATATGTAACCGCCGAGCGGAACGGACTAATTACAAAATTGTACTTTTTAGATTTCCAAATTGATTAATCGTTTTCCTTTCATTTTGAGTTGTATTTCTTATTGACATATTGTTTACAAATTGCTTAGTTGAGTAGGCCTACCCAATTGTATATCATGCATTCCTACCATTTAACTTGCAAAAATATAAAGACTGGTTTTTGCGTGAAAATTGAACGAATGTTTTTCGTTTGCAACTTGAATGTTGTAGTTCCATTATATAGCGATGTTATTGACAATAGAATAACCCAAGTCCAGTTACATTGTGTAGGCTACACTGGTGTAACACCATGCTAACACAACCCATTAGGCCTACCCCTTTTTTAATCTGTCTGATTTAAGGTGTGTGGTATGTGTTACCCAAACCCTATACTTGGGGCCTTTATTTTTCCCACGAAATACCCAGGTCCCAAATAGGTTAGTACCAAATATTTAGTAGACAATGCATTCGTGGCAGTTATATGTAATGCTGCTTAAAATACAGCCCTGATAATGTGACGCTATTTAGACTATGTTTTAAATTACCGTGGGACGTTAAACTATGGAAGCCTATAATAGACTAGGCCCGATTGTGGATAAAAGTAAAGCAAGAGGCATTTTTTAGTAGGATTTAGTATCCAGGCTATTTAACCTATTTCAAGGGTGCTGATTACGAAAAAATAGGATACCAAGCTGAAACAAGAGCATCGCTAACGCAGCAATATACGTCCACATTCCTGTTTTGTTTGATATGGTCCAGTTTGCATTGAGGGTCTGTGAAATAAAACTGGGTTGTAGGACTGCTATCAGTTTAACGTTTCGTTCACATTAACAGAACACAATTTTTATTTTAAAACAATCGATGTCTTTATTCTAAAAGCATGACGTTTAGAATAGGTATCCCCATTTCAAAAGGATCGGTTAAGAATTGCGGCCTGTAGGCAAAACACAAGACACACAAACATTAGGCGTGACTCTGTCCCAAGGGGTTGAGCATGCACCAAAAATAATAATAGAGGCCAGCCTTAGGATTAAGGAATAAGTGTAAAAACGTAGCCTTAGGCTATAAGGAATAAGTCTAAAAAAAATTTCAAGATGATCGATTAAGAAATGCGGTCTGCAAGTGACACACAGACATAAAAAAAGAAAATGGGCGTAGCTCTGCCCCTGGGGGTTGGGTATTCACCACAACTAATAGGGATGTTCCTTAGGATAGAAGGAATATGTATGCTAAGTTTCAAGGTGATACGATAAGAAATGCGATCTGTAGATGACAAACAAATAAATAAATATAAGGGATGGGCGTGGCTCTACCCCTGGTGGTCGGGCATGCACCAAAAACAATAGGGATCATACTTAGGGTATAAGCAATTCATATGAAAAATTTTCAAGACGATTGATTAAGAATTGTGGCCTGTAGGTGACACACAGACATAAAAAGAAAAGAAAATGGGCGTGGCTCTGCCCCTGGGGGTAAAAAAACAATAGGGGTCATCGTTAGGGTATAAGCAATTCATATGAAAAAATTTCAAGACAATTGATTAAGAATTGTGGTCTGTAGGCGACACACACACATAGAAAAAGAAAATGGGCGTGGCTTTGCCCCTGGGGGGTGGGCATGCACCCAAAACGATAGGGATGTTCCTGAGGGTACAAAGAATAAGTATGCAAAGTTTCAAGATGATACGTTAAGAAATGCGGCCTGTAGACGACAAACAAACAAATACAAAAATGGGCGTGGCTCTGCCCCGGGGAGGCGAGCATGCACTAAAAACAATAGGGATCATCCTTAGGGTATAAGGAATAAATATGTAAAGTTGATACGTTAAGAAATGCGGTCTGTAGATGACAAACAAATAAATAAATATAAGGAATGGGCGTGGCTCTGCCCCTGGGGGTCGGGCATGCACCAAAAACAATAGGGATCTTCCTTGGGGTATAAGGAATAAGTATACCAAGTTTGAAGAAAATCCAGTAAGAATTGCGCCCTGTAGGCGACACAAAGACACACGAAAAGAAAATGGGAAATGGGCGTGGCTCTGCCCCTGGGGGTTGGGCATGTACCCCAAACGATAGGGATGTTCCTTAGGGTACAAAGAATGTGTATGCAAGATTATAAGTTAAGAAATGTGGCCTGTAGACGACAAACAAACAAATACTAGAAATGGGCGTGGCTCTGCCCCTGGGGGTCGGGCATGCACCAAAAACAATAGGGATCTTCCTTGGGGTATAAGGAATAAGTATACCAAGTTTGAAGAAAATCCAGTAAGAATTGCGCCCTGTAGGCGACACAAAGACACACGAAAAGAAAATGGGCGTGGCTCTGCCCCTGGGGGTTGGGCATGCACCCCAAACGATAGGGATGTTCCTTAGGGTACAAAGAATGTGTATGCAAAGTTTCAAGATTATTAGTTAAGAAATGTGGCCTGTAGACGACAAACAAACAAATACTAGAAATGGGCGTGGCTCTGCCCCGGGGGGTCGGGCATGCACCAAAAACAATAGGGATCTTCCTTGGGGTATAAGGAATAAGTATACCAAGTTTGAAGAAAATCCATGAAGAATTGCGCCCTGTAGGCGAACCACAGACACACACACACACACACACACACACACACACACACATACATACATACACACACACACACACACAGACAGGGGCGACGGCATAATACGTTCACATTATGAATGTGGACGTATAAAAAGTGTTTTTGAGCCTCAAAATTGAAAAACAAAATGGCCGCCAAAATTGCATCAAATTGTGACGGGCGTGCACAGTATTTGTGTCTATAATTGTATTAATCCTTTTTAATTTTTGAAATATTGACTTTTCAAGACATTCAAAGAATGCTGATCATGAATAAATAGGATTACAACCTAAAAAAAATTTTGGGACCCCCAAATTTGAAAAACAAAATGGCCGCCATAGTCGCCTAAAATGATGTTATTTGTGCACGGTACATCACCAACTGAGATTGTATTCTTGTTGATATTCTTTTTAAATGTGACTTTTTCAAGACATTAAAACACTGCTGTTCATAAAAATATTGGACATCAAGGTGATCATAATGTTTTTGAACCACAAAATATAAAGAACAAAATGGCCGTCATATTCGTCTCTACTAGTGGTAGGTGTGTACAGTGTATCATCATCTGTGAAACTGTCACAGTCGTTAAACCTGTTCTTTCTGATTAACTGACGTCATTGTACCCTACAAAGTATTGATATACAAATACACAAGTGCATATCTTCATGAATACTTTTAATCCTTTAGAAAGAAAAGATCATGGAAATTTTGTTAAACAATCAACACAAATTATCAAGTGAAACAGACAAATATCTATCTATCTATCTATATATATATTTGTGACTGTCGTTTGTCTGTCTGTCTGTCTGTCTGTTCGGGGTTGGCGGCTACACTAGGTCTGCCCCGAATCTGAAATTTGGGGTATAGGGGTAGCTCGGACCGGGAAGTAACATAGGTCAGGTGGCGTTAGTCTACCACTTCCGGTTTCGGAGTTATGACCCCCGAGCGAAGCCGGTCTGTTCGGGGTTGGCAGCTACAATAGGTCTGCCCCGAATCTGAAATTTGGGGTATAGGGGTAGCTCGGACCGGGGAGTAACATAGGCCAGATGGCGTTAGTCTACCACTTCCGGTTTCAGAGTTATGACCCCTGAGCGAAGCCGGGTATCTGTCTGTCTGTCTGTTCGGGGTTGGCGGCTACACCAGGTCTGGCCCGAGTCTGAAATTTGGGGTATAGGGGTAGCTCAGACCGGGGAGTAACATAGGCCAGGTGGCGTTAGTCTACCACTTCCGGAGTTATGACCCCCGAGCGAAGCCGGTCTGTTCGGGGTTAGCGGCTACACTAGGTCTGCCCCGAGTCTGAAATTTGGGGTATAGGGGTAGCTCGGACCGGGGAGTAACATAGGCCAGGTGGCGTTAGTCTACCACTTCCGGTTTCGGAGTTATGACCCCGAGCGAAGCCGGGTATCCTGCTAGTCATTTATAAAAGTCATGTGAAACTTCTGAAGTCATGCTTTGCAATTTGGTAACGCATAATCACCATATCTAGCTTCAATAAATCCTACATTTAATTATATTTTGAATTCATAAAGTAGGCATCAGTTCAACTACTACACATTCGAATTGTCATTGAAACAACTTTCTTCATCACCAGGCGTTCTGCAGCCACACGCAGCTGTGCAAGGAAGTTTTGATCTCCTGTATTTGCAACGCATTGTTTGACAGTTAGTACGACATGAACATGTAATAAGTGCAAGGCAAGCTTCAGGAATGGGATCCAAAGACATCAATATGGGTTGTAAACCTTTGTTTGTTCTTGTCCAACCCATCTCTGTGACATCTGGAAGTTGTGGAATAGCTTCACAGGCTTTGTTCCAGATCATAGTTTGGTAATGTACCCGTTTGATGTGGTAGCATAAGGAATCACTTGTGGGCGGCATCAACTCAGGTTTGCATGATTT